AGTTTCTGGAGTACCCCCCGGGGTTTCTCGTAACAGAAATTAAACGACGGTTGAAAAGTTGCAAGCGAGCGTCCTTACCTATTGACGGAATATTAGCTCCCGTTCCGAGTCAGACATTAATATTAGAGAGATTAAGATTCACGTTTACGCCAAACGGCAAACGTCAGATTCAAGTTGAGAATCTCTCAGAATAAAAAAATAAGCCGATAAAAACTGTCCAGAACAACTCTTATGGATAAAAATGGCGTGAAAATACTTATTTTTTTTGAAGAACTAATAAACAGTAAACGACAATTAAAGGGAAAACTTGGTCACGTGGTACAAATTCACGTTTGCCGTTTGGCGTAAACGTGAATCTTAATCTCTCTATTATATTTTGCCGGAAAACGCAAAGTTTGGGATGCTTTCTCGTGCTGATAAGTCGATGGTTTGTCTTTCTTATCTACAGACGGAAATGGAGAAAGTAAAAGAAAAGGACATGGTTAAGGTTGATAATACAAACCAATCAAGTAACGGTTGTTCGATAACAAACAAGGCATGGGACAGTCTCTCAAGTGCAGTTAAGTCAGCTGTAAAATGGCTGTACATTGGTATCGACTGGCTGAAGGACACAAACTCAGAGGCATTTGCTCGAAGGACAGTTACTGCATCGGATTCTATTAGCTCGGCAGACGGCGTAAGTTTGAGGTTTTTATCATGCTATTCAAGGTAAAAAGTCGAAGAGAGCCTTAAAAAATATGTGCGATTGCACTAGGAAACTGGAAGCTTTTTTACAAAAATAAAAACCGTTTCGCTAAACTAAGTTGTAGTTTATACATGACAATGGAGAATTTAATTGTGAAGTCAGGGCAGCTATAGTTATAATCAAGACTAAAATAACAGGTAGGAAGGACTAGGAGACACTGTAGGAGATGTAGCTGAAGCGTTGAGCCGGGCTGCAATGACTGCAATGATATACTATCTACCTGTAAATTAAAAAAAAATGACAATAAATCTGGTTATAAGCTTCCTTCTCGCTTGTATTAAAAAGAATTTGATTTTTACGACGTTTTGAAGTTTAACAAAGCGACTAAATTCAAAAAGTATTGTGATCAGCAATGCTATGTACGGCTTTTTTTTAGAGGGTTACAAGCGCTCGCTCCCCACCCCCCACCCATTTATAAGCCCTTATGGACTGCTAAAACCTGTGGTTAATTTGTACATAAGCACAGTTTATAAGCAGTAGTTTACGGTATGTGGGCGTTTAGTGAAAACTAGCCTGGTGCATGGTCAAACATTTCGGACATTTGAGCCCGCATAGCAGTAGCGGCTTCTCCCAATCAATGACAAAAATGGAGTGCGAAAATTAAATTCCTTAAATTCCTGCCTTTCACCCACCCCCACCAAAAAAAATTGGAACCTGTCACGCAGGCAAAAAAAAAAGCTTAACGTGGACAATTAGGGCTTAACGATACATTCTGTACATTCTTATCGCCCTTTTAGATTGTGAATCACAGCATGTTCATGGACGTAACTGATAAGGATCAGACACTAACCTGCTCCGTGGCTTCCAATATTCAGTTGACGACACTGACTGACAGCAAGCCTGACAGCAAGTCTTTTTCTAAGAAATCTGAGGACGGTAAAGTTAACACAGCCCTGCCAGCTACAAGCATGGAGAACATAGAAACTAATGTTACCTCGTCGTCTGGCACGGCTGAAAAGGAGGTGAATGTTATCATGAGAAACGCAACAAATAAACGCCGTGAACCAATCGTGGTATTTATCGGTCATTCTGACCGTGAAGAACTAAGTAAAGATGAATCATCCGAACTTCCAAAATTTACTTCCTCGCCCTTCCTTGGTTTGCACCCTGAAATCCGTTCATCAAACCGACAGGAAAACGATCACGTTATGTTTCCTGGCGTTATGGGATACTATGGTATTGCTTCACATAAAACAGTTCGAATTCCTGAATACCATGGTACCGTTACGAGCCTTGACCGTGATGAAGATGAAATTTCCACTGCATTGGGAACGTCTTCTACTGAGATAACCCATCCCAAGGAAAATGGGCTTGCATTGCAGCAGAAGGACACTGAGATCGGAACCTTTGCTCTTCTGGAGGAACCTCAATCTACCTTGAGAAATGAAACCTTGTCAGATTTGGTTGACTCAACAAACCAAACAACCAATTTTAACTCAGAGAAAGCAGATGAACGCAATGAGGATGTTAAAATAGTCGTTGATACACTCATTTTATCTAATGATACCAAGGAAGACCTAAGGATCTGTCCAAATCATCCTCAAACTGGTGGCTCCTCGTTTAACAAGGTTCACATTGGAGTGTGTATGAAGGACGGTGAAAGGCTTGGCCTGCGTATTGACGATTTGCCTTCCTTGACTACCCAGTACCAAGATATTACATTCCTGCGAGGTTCAACAGCCAAGAAATCGCGGAGTAGGTGGATGACCAAACTGGTCAAAGACGAGTCTACGCATGCTTTTTACCTCACTGGTTTCAATCAAAGTGGCACGGTAAGCGACGATGAAAGTATTATCTTTGATATGTAAGGGTCAGTTCTCCGCGTACTGATTTGACCTATATACAGATTTGGATCTTGTTTTTTCTAGAAACGTATTGGATTCTTTATTGCTAGGATTTGGGTTCTGAGATGAATTTAAAACCCAATTTGGCCAAAAGATTGAGCTTTATTTCGATAGTCCCGAATTAAGCATCATAATAAATCCCTGTATTTTCTTCTGACAGCTTCATTGATTATATTGTCCCAATGCCACAAGCGCTTGCGTGCACTTTCGGCGCATTAGCCCGTTACTCAAAAGTCCCATTAACTTTTCGGACCCAAAATCAAACATTCAACCGGGTAACACCAAACACTGAAAGGAGGCATCAAAACTGTGTAGGAAGGTGAGGTCTGCTGCACGACCGAAGTTATATAATCAACAGGTAACAGAAAGACAAAGATGTACTTAAGGATTCTCTGATTGTAATAACAGCAATGTAGAAAGATTTGAAATTGAGACTATAATATGGTTGTCTTTTCTCGAGCTTCGAGCATATTTTGTCTTTGTTTTGAATTTCCTTCCTGTTAATCGTGTTTCTTTCTTTTGATGAAGGAATATTGTTCGAAGAAGACTAGTCCATCAGTAGACTCAAGCTGGTTCATTGCAAGGCTGTGGAACAGAGGTTTAGTATCTGTTGGTTTGCGTAAGCCCAGCAGTGTTCCCCGGCAAACGGCAAAACGACCACAGTATCAGCGACTGGCAGCTGTACAAATCAGCATGTTTGAGATATGCATGACGGAGACAAATCAAACTGGCCCAGTAAGTGTTTTTTTTTTTGTCGTTTGTTATATTGCATTACCCTGAGGATATATACGAGAATTCCTAAACCAGGGGCACCCAACGAGGATATAGTTCAAAACCACTTAACGTAGCATTGTTGAACGTATTTTAATATTTAAACGGTAGATATATGCATATTTTTATCCCCTAAAAACTTTTCATCTGTTCGGATTTCCTAGCTGAAAGTCTAGTGATCCGAAAATTATAGGGATCAAAACTTACCTTTTCGAAAATTTCAGCCAGGAAAAGGCTCCCGAAAATTCTAGGTGGCCTTTTTTAGGGTAAATATCCGTTTAAAATGGGTAATTATACCAAATTGTAGATGTTCGAAAATCCTAGGAGAGGCAGGCAAGCAAGAAATTTTACAACAAATGTTCCGAAAATTCTAGTTCTGAAATCGTCTTCCGAACAGATATTTTCCCGAAAATTGCCGTTGGGTGCCCCTGCTAAACGCTTTTTCTTTAATAAATTGTAGGTTCAAATGTGGGATGCTGTGAAATAAGTTAATAAAAAACCTTTGTACTGTAACTTCAAATATTTTAATCGAGAAAAAAATTATCGGGCAAGTTTGATTTTAAAGATTTGTTGCAGCTGTTGTAATTGTTGTTGCTCGATCTGATAAAAGCTACTTCGGTTCTACCGACATATCGAGATTGGCAACGATTGAAATGAATGACTCCTATTTAATTAGCCACGCTGGTCAAGACAATTTGGACGTTAAGTCCGCCTTTTGCCCTGTTTCAGAATTAACCCAGGATGAGAACTAACCGGTATTCGGGCAATTCAGCCAGGATTGTTCTATGTTACTATGCATTTCACTAAAAGTAATTTTTACTCAACGAAGAATATAATTAAGGTAATAAAAGTTTTAAAGCGAATCGAATATCTCGTTCTTTGTCGAATTAGGAAACACTATGCTGCACAAAGAAAGCTGCCAAAGAAAGCTGCCAAACTAAATCAGAGACTTTCACTACAAAACTGTGGATTAAGGGGATGGAGTTTGTAGGCTGGATCAGATCAAATGAAACTCGAGAAAAGGCTTGGAATCTAGGGAATTGTAAGTATTCAGATGTCTTTAGTCTTTGCAGTCATTCTTTCTACTCTCAGAGGCATAGAACAACAACAGTCTACGATTGCTTTACATCTCCAGTCTAATCCAAAAGAAATTTAAATCTCTCCCAGCATATTTCTTCTGGTTTGAAAATATCTATTGATTGATCATTTTGGAAGTCGAAACTGAATTTGAAAGTGACATGTCAATCTTTGCTTTGTTTGTTTGTTGTTTCTTAATTACGCAATTATTTTTGTTCAAACTGAATAAAATTAATAAAATACTTCCAAAAACTTGTTGTATAACAACGGAAACATTTTTGAGATAACCATGCTTATTCTAAGGGAAAAAATGAACAGTTTTGATTGTCACAGTCAATATAACAGGTTTGATCCTTACAATTAATTGATGTTTCATAACTCTCTCTTTTTCAGGGAGTTAGTGTAGTAATATAAGGACATTTGTGTCTGCACCTTATCGTTAAAGATTACTAACTATCGCTCAATCTCTTTCCAGTTTATTTGACAAAATTCCTTACGAAAATGATGAACTGGACCTGGCAGGACACGTTTGATATGATGACTATGATCTTGGCGACTGAATGTTGCTACACGGCCATGTACCTCGCCATTCCTTTGATTATAAACATCATCAAACGTTTTATTCGAATGTTGATTCGAAAATGGAGGTAAGAGAATACGTGTCGAGTTTCCCGTTTTTTTAAGCAATGATACCGCACAAAATTTCTACGTTCCTGGCCCGGTTTCTCCTACAGCAGCACCATAGCCTTATATTAATAAGAGGCTACGAACCACCGTCAGTCGAGACTTTTGAGTTGCGCACTAAAATAAAAATACAAAATTCAGTGCCAAATAGCAAAAACGGTAGATCTGTTACATACGTCTATGTAGACTGTGACAACGTTAAGACAATGGTCCAACACAACCTTTTTAATGGCTGATAGAATACTATGCTAGTGGAAAAGGTTGCCAGACCAAAGAGTAAAGACCCCACTAAAAAAGCCGTGACCACGCCCTTTTTGCGGCGGTTCAAGAACAACTACTTTATGTGGGCAGCTGCTCAGTTGGGTTTATTAAACATTTTTGTTTAATATCTAACATAGAAACGCTCGCTCTGATGGGCCGAGAGGAGTGTTTGCATGAGAGTAAACATGGTTGTGACATCCAGATGTTTTGCTTTTCGCGCGCTAATTACGCAATCACGAATTTGGAAAAGTGTTTTTTTTTTAGTTAAAACCGGGTCTTGATAAGTTTATTATATTTACCCATTCGCTCTTCGGCTTAGGCCTGGTTCAGACGCCGTAGTTTTCATGTTCCGAACTTAATTTAATTAGTTTTGCTTTGGAGCGATACTTGCGACATCTGATTCATACGGCGTACCTTGTATCGATCCGAGGTTAAGTTCGACAAGAGTTCGACAGACTGTCGAACTTAACGCTTTTGCCGCGCCGAACTAAAACTGCCGTATCAATTTGATTCAGACGCGGCTTTGCCGCACTTAATTGATCAGTTAGGTTCGGCACATTAGTGAAGCGGTGTCTGAAATGAGCCTTAAATACTTAAACAGTTGCACACTCCTTTTGCAGTTAGAGATGTGGTGTAACCATGGCCCCATCCTCGCGGATACGTTTCCCTGACTTAAAACAGAGATTTTCCCTCCCGTTTAACCTACCGTCCACTCGTATCCGATGAAAAAGGTCACCGAAAACGCATCTTTTCAAAAACGCTCTCCAGAGTGGAGATTTTTAAAAATGTCGGCTTTTCGTTTACTTGTGGAGGGACAAAAATGGGGTTTTCGAATACGATGATTTCTTGCATCATATACTATAAGCCTTACGCATGCTCTGTGAGGGATGCTATCGTATTTCTATTGTTTTGGCGTTTTTCTATGGTCGGGCGAAAACGAATAGAATATGCTACGTGTGGACGCGTATTATTTTGCAAACGGAGGGAAAGATCTCCGTCTTCAAAAATATCCGGATACATGTGGAAGGAGCCTTGAAGGCCTGAAAAAAGAATCTAAAGTGCGTGTCAGTAAAACGCGGGGCCTGGGTCTATCTTTTTTTAACGAATACTGTTTCAGGGTTACGGTTAAGGTCAGGGTTAGGGTTGACATTAACTCTAAGCCTAACCTGACCCTAACTCCAATCGTTACCCAAAAACAGCAGTCTTTTTTTTAAAAAAAGATTGACCACGACGCGTCCCCGGCCCCGGTCCCGGCCAGTGTTTAACTGACACCCGTCTACAATGAACAATACGCACACCGAAACTGTATAACCAACAAAAACTTCCGCGACATCAAGAAACACCGCGGCGTTGAATCTTCACCACTGATCGACGCTCTTTTGGTGATTAAATACCAAATGAATATATTTCCTTTTCGTTTTGTAGATTGTATCGTAAAAATCGCCAACACCAATTGGAAAAAGAGCGTGAACGATTACGTCAAGAAGAACTTGCACGCGAAAGAGCAGCTCGACCGAAACCATGGCGGCCAAAACAACCTAGAAAGAGGAAGATTAACTTTTGTGGCAGATTACAAAAATGGTAGCAATCACTAGACTTCTGAAAAAAATCAAAAAGGTCGTTTCTATGTTAAGTCACATTTGTGAGATATTGAGAACTTTCAATATATTATTTTGTAAATAAAGAAAAATGCTTGTTTTTATATCTTTGGACTTGTGGTTTCTTTAGTTATACTGTTGGCATAAAAGAGAGGAGGGCCTTTCCAATAGAGAACAGCAGTCCTTGTTCCAGCAATATACAATTAGTATATTTACTTCCCTACTTAAGCAAGTGTTTGAGATCCTAGTTCAGTTAATAATCTGTCATTACCAGCCCAGATTAGGGAAACCACCGAGAACGCCGAAAAGATAGTCATGTAGTCTTGGCTTCGCATTATGTACTGGGAACAGAGGGAAGAACAGGAAGACAGGAATTTTTGTAAATCCTTTCTTCAGTCTTATTTATGATTTCACGCGGCTTTCATCTGTTTCTTGAGATGAGTCTATTTCTTTTCTTTTCAAAGACATTGGACATTCTTTTCAGAGACATTAGACTTTCTCTGACAACCCACTTGCTCAACGGACCATAGATTCATGTGGCAATCACAAAATTTCTCCCTAGGTTATGAAAGTTTAAAGAACCAGTTCTAAGCTTTCGCTTAAAAAAAGCGCAACTTTGACAACGATGAATATGTCTTTAAAAAACTTAGGAGCTTTAATTTGTTATTACATTCTTGGTCAAACATTTTCTGGTTAATGCTTGGTTGAGTCACGTGATCAGTATAATTTAGTATGTTGCTCAACACAGCTCAGTGCTATCTAAAAGAAAGAATGAAAAGCTAGAAGCACCAAAGCGTCGTGCGAGAAAAAAAAGTTACATTAGCAAATGTGATGCACGCCTATTCTGTGCAATATAAGTATGAGCACTCTTTTGGAAGGCACTAAGTAGAACCCAATACCTTGCCTCTTAGGATAATTGAAACCTGAAAATTTATGGAAGAGTCACTCGAATGGGAATGCTTTTCTTGAAGCTTTGTCCTTGAGACTGGGTTTATCTGATTAGTCGGAGCAAGTTGAATTATCTCCTGTGAATAACTCAGCTGATTCTAGCAGCCCAAATACTGAATTAAAAATTACTTTAGAACAATTGGCAGAAAGTATGCGTAATTATCTAAACTACAGTAACTCAAGCAACAAAAATGTGCAACTTGTCTCGCAACATTGCTGCTTGCAAACAAGATGAAAAGCGATGTTGCGCTTTTCACCACCCACGTTGAAGTCTGCCCTGCAACAAATCAGGTTGATGCATGTAGCGTGAATACTGACTTCTGATTGGACAAAACTACGCGGAAAGTCACGTCATACACAGGAGGTGCGTCCCTTGCTGCAAAACAAGTTTGCCCTGGGCAGTTAATACGCGCAACATGTACAGGTTTTGATGCAGAAAATTAATACTCCCTACTCTTGCAACCCGTGACAAGCTGTTTGTTGCAAGCCAGTGGAGGCTTGATTCGTAAGTGCAGCAATCATGCAAAATAAGTTGCACGTGTTTGTTGCTCGTTTTACCGTACCTTAAGGCTATGTTTACTCTATAGAGCGTTTGTACATGACGTCACGGCGGCCATATTGGTGTTGCAAAACAATGAAACGGCGGCCATGTTGGTGTACTAAGAAAATCCTCTGGGAGTTGAACTCTTCTTTTTGTTCCAATAAATTAACAAAGATCACGACAAAACACGCAAGTTATAGCCCTGTTACGTTTGTCACGCAAAAGTTATTGTTTTTCCGTCCTCTTCTTCCTACCGTCCTGTTGCGCGCGTAAACTAACTGTTGGAGTAAATAATGGAATCTTTTTTGTTGGAATCAAGGAAACAATAATGCCATTTTGGGGCGGAATAATGGAATGAGGGCTTCCTTTAAAATAATCGACTTGTCGATTTTGGAATGACAGTTAAACTGTCCTCGATCTTAGCACTTCCCTCTAGTAGTAAAATTTTTATATCTGACGTTGCTACCCCGTACTGACTCGGAACAAGCCACCTTATCCCTCCAAGGTTTCAAAGCAAAGGTTGTTTTTCACAGAATCAGACTTCAGATTTTTTTGCACTACATCAAGAGGTTACTACATAGATTACAATACATTTCGAATGCATTACAAAAGCAAGAAAAAAAATAGATCAACAATTTACGTGGAAGGTGAAATGTGCGCAGCGACCGCCAAAGGAGCTTACGGTAAGCTTTCGAATCGGTGATCAGACGTAGACATAAAACTACAAGTAACGTACAGAAGGAGAAAGAACATTTGAAAACGCAAAACATGAAGTCGCACTTACGATTTTATACAAAAACAATAGAAATGGTTATAGGTAGAGTCGGCAGAGAAAGAAGTTGTTATAAGATAGGGTTTTTTAATTCGAAGGGAATGGTTTCCTAGACTTAAGATCCAACAAAAGCGAAAGTGGAAGCTCTGTGATTTTAAATCTTTACGACTAGCCTGGCTTGCGAAGGAGCAATACTTGACCAGCTGGGATAGAAATCACCTCAAAGCAAAAGGAAATCAATGAGACACTGCATGTTGTGGAAGCTGCACTATGGTCACGTGGCAGCACACGGTATGACGAAGCTAATCCCAATACGACGGGCTAGTAGGCATCTGAATTCAAATGCATACGAAGTACCACATTCAAGAACTATCACAAGTACTCAATTTTTCCCACGCATAATATGGCAATGCAACTAGTTACCCGAAGATATCGCCACCTTGACGAACTTAGACTCTTTTAAAAAGCTATAATTCTGTGACCGTATCCCTTTGTGTGTTTAATTAATTCCTATTTATTTTTTTGTGTGGATTTGTTTATTTATTTATTGACATTTAAAGACCCCTCAAAAGGAGGTGAAGTTTCGTGGAAGAAGAAGAAGAAAATGACTAGAAAGCACTCTTATAAAGGGCAGAGAATTCACATTACTTAGTAGTTCACAGTGAAAACAAACATCAGAAAAATATCGTTTCATTCAGATTTATTTCCCCGATTATACTACTACATGAAAAATTACTGCAATTTGATTGGCTTAGAGCAGTGGTATTTCAGCTTAATTTGAAATACCTACATGCGAAAATTACAAACCTTTTGCGGGTAGTAGTATAAACAAATAATAGCATGATTTGTACGCGCTATTTGGCAAAAATATCACTCGTGATTTTTCAAAATTGTCTCAAATTTCACTCGAATTACATATAACAATTTTGAAATATCACTCGTGGTATTTATGCCAAATATCACTACAAATCATGCTATTACCTACACTAATTAGATCACACTACCAAAAATAATCACAAAGTAACGACCTGCTCGTCCCCATTGTCTCTAGAATTTCCGTGACCTGGGGACGGGAGACGAGTAAGACCCTGGAAACTAGCTTGGTTAAGTAATTCATTAAAGTTACACTTTCTGTTACGATGGTGAGAGCATTTTTAAGGTTACGTTTATGAAGCACAGGGATGTTAATAGCCCACGTTCGATATATTAAAATTTCTAACATGACTCCGAGGCTTTAGGGTCAAAATTGAAAATTTTTCACGACTTCATTGTCTCGCAATTCCCAGAAGAGTCTTCAGAAGAACGAAAACCCAAACCACATATAGAAAAATGACCAGAAGGCCTCGGAGTCATGTCAGAATTTTATTAAATCGAACGTGGGCTATTGAGCTTTGTTACGTTGCAGTCCGCGAATACAGCCGTCTCTTCTCGCATTTTCAAGTCTTAACATCGGGGAAAGATAACAGGAGGCTGCATTCGCGGACTACAAGACTCCTAAACAGATAACGACTGTTTGTACTATAGTCCCTTTCGCACACCAATAATGGCACGGTCACTTCCTAACCAAACAAACAAATTATTTACAAAACAAAAGACGAAACGAAAAGTATAGTTGGTAGACCTAGAGAAAAGTGGACAGTTCTGCTAATACTGGATTGCTTTCAAAATGAATTTTTCGGGATAAAACGTCCACGTATGGTATCTGCCTTTGCTTTAAAACAATACGATGTACAAACTAGATAAAGGCCATCATGAACACTAAGAAACACTTTCAATTACTTTAAAATACCACAAAGTTACATTTTTATTCGGTAGATCGTGCGTAAGGACCCGATATCTCGGGCTGTTTTAAAGAGGCGGAAGTAGCCTCCGGTCCCTCTGAAACAAAGTCCTAAACCCGTTCGTTTTTTCAATATCACTAACTACTACTAAAACTAGTACTTAAGTATTTTTGCATTTCCTTTTTTTCTTCAAAAATAAAAATGAACCGGCTTATTTCTTACTCAGGTAGCATATGACAGCCTGCTTAAGGTTTTATCCCACGCCAAGCAGTCTAAAAGCTGAATAGTACCGGGTATTACGTCTCAAGTTGTTTGCTTCTTTAACAAAACGCAGAAGCTTTTTTGACAAAAAAAGCGTCGGGGTTCTGTCGACGTTAGCAGTTGTTTCCCGACAAAACTGCGGCGTCTGACAAAAAGTATTTACGCGAAGCCATCCCGTGAAATACAACTTGACTTTGTATTAGTAAACTTTGGGATGTTCGTAGCATAGACAAAATATAAGGCAAAAGGCGAGAAGAAAGAAAAACTAGAAAGCACGACTTAAGTTGTACGTATTAGCTGGATATCGTAAGCTTATTTCGTGGGGTTGAAGTACTGTCTTAATATATTCAACGGTCTTTAATCTCTCTCTTAATTCGCTTGGATAGTCGACCGAACACCAGGCCGCCAACGAAAATAAGCGCCAAGCACGTCGCGAAAATAATGAAGAAGTAGTTCTTAGAAGGCGATGATGATATGGCTAAGGCAAGATCGCCAAGAGTTTCTGGTGGTAGAATCTATGAAACAAGAAAGCAAATTTATCATTAGTTGCGTGACAGCCCAGGATGTCATTTACGCCAATCTGGGCGGAGGTGGAGCTTTTTTGTGTTCTTGAATAAAATGACTTGCTACCAGCATTCTATGCGTGTTCTTTTAATATTAATAACTCTCTGAAAACACGGGAACGATCCACCAAAAACAAAACAAAACAAAACAAAACAAAACAAAAAAAGAAAAAGAGAAGAAGAACAGAAGAAACGGTTAAGAAAAGGCAGTAAACGAGTTACGAAGCGCCCTGATACGCTAAACTTTAAATGACAAAGCGCCTGTATTTTCAAGTAACTTGGCCCCTTTTAGACCCTCAGAAGTGAGAGAAAGACGCGATCACAGATGGTTTCAAAGATTTAAGAGACGTTTACCGCTGTGCTATCACAGCAAGAGGAAAAAAAAAACAAGTGTCCGTGAAAGAGGAAAACAGGCGTAAAGACAATAAAGGGGTAGAGAGATTTCCACCTTCAAAGGTATCAGAAAATGAGAAACGAAATTGATACTCGCTATCACAGATAATTTGAAAAATTTAAAAGCCTGAGAACAGACCCTTGAGACACTACAAAGGAACAACGAATGATCCAACCAAACGAAGTACCGCCTCTTCTGTAGAAAGCAATAGGAAGCGGAAATATTGGACAAGCGGGGGAGGGGGTCTGGTTGAAGAGTGCGAGCGCGACGGTTGTTCACTTTCCTTCGCATTATCTCCGCTTCGCCTTCTCAAGAGCCTGCTAGACAGCCGTTTTTAGAGTCGTCGCGCAACGCTCCCCTACCTCCTTAAATACCCATTTCAACTTTCACTACATTCAAACTTCCTTAAGCATAGTAAAACTCGTTTTTACCATTAAACTTTCTTCAAAAAGGTTAAAACCGCAGATGGTAAATAAACTTATTCCTACCTTTGCAGCCAATTCCCACATTTTCAACCGAGATGACAAATGAATCAGACATTCTCTATCAAAGCGAGCTGGGTTCGAGTCATGAGCTTCTAGAAGACACTTCATTACTGCATAAACAAAAAGAAAAGTAGAAAAACATGAGCAGTGAAAGTCGTCTCCCAGAGTCGTCAGAGGCAAAGTAAATTACAACGGAAAGAATAGACGTGTAAAAATAAACTAAATGACATAAACCGGGCACTCAAATGGCCGCATCCTGGCACCCTTAACGAAATCATGGCGTTGGTGCTTTCGTAGGGTTTCTACAGTTTTAAGCTTTTCACACAAAGAAAATGAACTTTGAATCGGGCCGCTTTGAAACTTGACCATAAGTTTCCGAATTCAATTGATGCGAAGATACCTTTGATATTTTGAAAAAGATAGCAAAGAGCGTGGTATAGCCCTTTGATGGCCTGTTTACTTGGAGGTGGGGGACCCCAGGTAGGTGAGGTAACCCGCCCGTCCATATTATCTCTCATTTTAATTTGATCACGTTTACAATAATGATCACCTCCATGTAAAAAGGCCCTAAGTCTGTTTGTAATCCTACTTATTTTTACCTTTTCCTTTTCCAAAAGGGATATCTGAACAGTGCCGTTTGATATCATTAGCACATGCCTTATATAGCACAGGGTCCGCCTGGATGTCTGTGCGACCCTCTCTCATTTGACGAACTATTTCCTACAAAATAATCAGAACAAAAATTTGGCTCCAGGACAATAATCCTCTTTAGAGGTAAACAGGAGTTACGCTCCTACGATGTTAGCCGAAAATTTCCCAAAGAAACACGTTGCTAACTCGCGTGGCAGGCGTCAAAAGAGACAAACGCTGGGGGTGGGGGTAGGGGACGAAGCAAAAGCCACGTAGGTTACACATTGCCAGCCCACATTCTGGATTACAGTCAAACCATGCTTTACGGACACCCGCGTAATACGGACACATCGTTATTTCGGACAGTTTTCTTTGTCCCTGGGGGAAAGAAATCCCTTACATTCTTCCTAAATTCAACCCGCTTTATACGGACACCCCGTTACTACGGACACTTTCTATGGTCTCTCAGTGTCCATATTAACGTGGTTTGACTGCACAGACAGTGATCATTGAGCATTAACAGCGTCAGATGGGAGACTGTTCCATACAGGTATGCAGCGGGTAAACGAGCAGTACCCACCTTCTACTCGAAAATAGGCGCTGAAGAACATGATTAATTAATGCACCCTTCACTGGAAATCTACCAAAAAAACTTTAAATTGTGCCTTGCGAGTTTCATGCCGGGGTTCGGGAACTAAAAGCCGAAATTATCATTACGTATTTTTTGGCGTTGCAAAAACTCTAACAGGTTAGAAATTGTGTTGAGGTTTGGGTATTTAATATTTTTATCACGTGATTTGGTGTCATCAAATAAGCGACCGATAGAAAACTTGGCACACACAGGAACCAAACTTTTCTTATGATGCACTGCAAACGTACAGTAATATAACCACAGTTTATCATATGGCTACCATAGTACGCGCGCTCTGATTGGCTGCCTTCTTGTAATGACCGTGCATTATGTTCTGTAATGACTGGGCATTACTACCTAAGTGTCCAAGCCACAATCTGTTTCACTTGATAGTGGACATCCATTAAGGGCATCCGCTGACTAGTGTCAAATGACTGTATCGCGGGCTCAAAATCACAACTTATTAAGATGAAGTGTTTTTTAAAAGCTATCCGCTGGCCATATGTTGTTATTAATTGATCGAGGGCTCAGGCCCATAATGAAAAAGCCATATAACACACTCGAACCTCTCGATATGGACACCTCTCCAATGTGGACAGTTTCCTCTGTACCGACAAAATTCTCACACATTTCCTCTTAAAAAAACCTCTATAATACGGACCCTCTCTAACACGGACAACGGACACAAAATCTCTGCCCTCGGGAGCAAATTCATAAAAACTTAACCTCTTTATTATGGACACTCCGGGGACCAGGTGTCGATAATTTGCGGTACGTACCATCTCCTGTCGGCGGTTACACCAAAATTTACACTTTAATCAGTCAGCGATACCAGTACCAAAACATGTCAAAACTTACATTTATAATTGCAAATGCAGTAATCGAAAAAACTGTACTAACTGTACTAACCGTACCTCTCTAATACGGACACTTCGCTCTGTCCCTTCGATGTCCGTATAGAGTGTTTTCACATGACGTCACGGCGGCCATATTGGTGTCCCAAAACAACGAAACGGCGGCCATGTTGGTGTTCCAAACTAATCCTGTGGGAGTTGGACTCTTGTTTTGTAAAAACTTTCTCAGTTTTGTTCGATAAATTTGCATGGATGAAGGCCACGTGAGTGAAAACGCTTTATTAGAGAGGTTCGACTGTAAATAACTTATTAACCTCGTCCGTTTGGTCATTACAGGGAAATTTCAGACCTTGGCCTTGAAACTTGTTTACAAATTTCCATTTTTCCTGACTTGGCAATCTTTATTTTCTAGACTTAGACCAAGTCGGGAAAACTAGTTTACAAATTTCACGACTTTCTCAATAATTCAAGACTTAGTGCGATCGATACAAATGGATCGATTGATCTTATACTGGCTACGTCCTAAAGCGAGACTTACCACTCGACAATTCTTCCTTGTCACTGATCCTAAATGCGACTTCAGACATTCTTCTACTGCAGACGGTGGCGAACCAGCACAAAACTTTTTGATCTGGCCGGGAAAAAATTTACTGTAATGTAACACGTGATGCAATGCAAAAGCGTAACTACATCAAAGACAGACAAAGTGCCTGCATCGATGAAGCCATTCTATCCGTTTAAAGTACACTTGCCCAATAAGATGGCTGAGCAAAAAAGACGGCGAACCTTGCGTGACAAGCCTGACAATAATTACGTTTAAAAAGATTTTCCGTTAAACTTTAGCTTCCTTTAAACGCACATCATTTTGTACCGAAGACAGAACACGGTAATGTTAAGAGAAGATCACGACAAAACACCCAAGCAAAACCGACTGACACATACAAACGTTCTGCCGCCCTCTTGCGCAAGCCCACTTATGTGAGAGCTGGAACGCGGCGATGCACTTATCGCATTGACCGCGAATTGTAACTGAAAATGGTTTGACGTCGTCAAGACAGTTGGTTTCTGATGGGGTGGTGAGAATTATCGTACACAGACAGTACCCAGCACTTAAGTCTTGTGGTGTATTATCACACCTCCCTTCACACAATTGAACAGGTGTGATCTCCCTCTATCACAAGTTAAAAATAGGTGTAATTTAAGATTTTAATTTTCTACAAGCAGACAAAAATCTTCCCCCAAATTTTCACAGTAAAATCAGTGTCAATCAGGCTCATCAAATGTTCCCTTTAGTGAAAATACTGTAGTTTCCTTTGAACTCAATATCATATATTTCCAGATCCAGAAACAAAGAAAAATAAAATTTACACCAAAGATGAAATTAAACCATGACATATACCCCCATCCATTAACTTATGATCACCACAACGATTTCTTGACGAAGCTCACGCCATTGTTCGCAACAACAGGTAGCTAATCACTATCTATCACATAAAAGTACACACAAAGTCGTTTACCATTTGTTAAAGGCTAGTTACACACCTCTCCTTCGCACTCCTCTACAAGTCTTGTATCCAGTCTGAAGTCTTTTGCAGCTTGACGAATGAGTCGTTTAGTATATTCTTGACACTCTTCAGACAAGCGCTATAATGAATCAAACAGTAACTATGTTCATCGAATGTTTCTTATACCAGCCAATACACAGACAAATTATTTTTTTCTGTAGTTACCGGCTAGTCGAACACACTTGGAATGTTGGGATAGCACTTTACCCATAACCCACGCGGTTTCTTTGATCATTTATGATTGATTTTAGTGTTGCTCAGCCATAAACTACCATAGCATCGATTTATTTCCCGCATCTCGCCCCAGTAAGCATACAATGAAAAGACCTTAGGGCCAATAATACAACCAAAATAAGACGCGTCCTACACAAGGCTTCTTAGCATGACAATACAATAACAATACAATAATAAGTTCATCTCCAGCATTGCACACATTGAAAGGCCAGGATACTGGGTACACAACCGTTTAAATAAAAAAAATATTAAAAAAGAAATGTCGGCTGTTGAAATGCAAGTGCAAGTTCTAGCAACAAAATTACATTTTTTACCATGGATCACCAGACAAAGGAGCCTTACCTCATAGTTTTTCTTGAGACATCCAATGGTTTTTCCCTCTCCTGTAGGAATATCCTTGCAAAATTTAGGAATGTCTAACCTGCAGAACTTCATCAACTGCGGATTAAGCCTGACGTCTGTAATATAACAGAGTGTACTTCAATACGTGCGCGTGGAAAAGCAACCTTGTTAACGAGATTATAGACTGTTTTTGAGTCCTCTATTTTCCCGTAAGCGGGTATGGATGGGAGGGGGGTACAAATGTCAGTTGTGAGTTGAACTTGGGCCATTTGTCAGTTGTCAGTTAACCCCATCCGCACCCTCCGGTAAGATCGTCGAGATCAAGCGCCTGCCCTAACAGGGGGCCATCTTGGTTTCACATGTACCAAGTCTAGCATGAGGAGGAGTATCAAATCTACTAAGGGGTGGGGGATGGTTTCGGAGGAGGCGCCTCCCTCCCCCACCACTATAAACCCTGGGGTCTGCCCCTCGGTACATTTAAAGCCAATATGGCCACTCTTAACCGTAAGCGCTACATCTTGACGATTTTACAGAAAAAATGACTGCGAACAGCCTACCGAAATTCAGGCCTCCATTTCTTGTAAATTTTATATCTTTTTTCCTTCAAAAGAAGGTAGTCACTTTCAAATAACGTAGAAGCAATCGAAATTCATGATGGGTTGAACAAATAGTCTTGTATTTGAATGGTTTCACTTTTGCTTCTCCTTGCCCTTTTATCTCAAAACAACATTGATTGCTCCTGCGTAACATCAAACCTTACAAAGTACTAGAAAATCTGCAGAAACGACGTGAAAACGATGACGACGCAGTGTAACTTTTGTATATAAATTCTTCATACCACTACTAAAACAAATGTATGGAAGAGAAAATGCGCAGTGGGGGGTGTTGCAATATATTGAAGTAAACGTACCTTGGGATTGTCTAATTTGTCTTTTAGTTATCATATCACTGCAGCTAAAAAAGGAAACAAGAAACTGTATCAGTACATGAAGTGGATACAGGCGCTATCCTGAACTACACGAGTCTAATGATATTTGCGAACACATGAAAATTTATCTGCTGCTTCCGACCACATTTCAATAGGGAGCTTAAGCAACGACGACGGCGACGGCGACGGCGACGGCAACGAGAACAGTAATAAAAGCAATTGGTTTAGGACCTCTTCACATGAGCCTAGTTGACCGGGCTGATCTGGTTTGCGGAAACAATTTCGCCTTCGGTTCATATGGGAATTTTCAGCCCGGATTCCGAGATGACAAGGCCGATAATCCTGTGGATGAGTTCCGGCGCGAAATTTGAGAAATAAAGCAAAAATGGCGAAAAACAAGAATTATGACTTTTGCGCCTATCATAGCTTTGGTAACTCTCAAAGTTGTATCACTGTAGTTAAATGGGATGCTTATGATGTGAAAAATACAGCAGGCATAAGTGGCAAAACGATGCCACCCCAGATTTCATCGCGCTTTCATCCCGGTAACCGGGCTGAAGTGCTCATAGGACAAAAGTTTCAGCCCGCTTACCGAGATCGCGGTTGGAAAAACCGAGGCCTCGGGAACCGAGCCAGCCCATCCTCCCGTATCAACACAACGACGATTTTTAGCGCAACACAGCGTTGCAACATTGTTGCGACATTGTTTCGAATGGTTACAACATTCAGCGTGCAAAGAAAGTACTGTCCGATAGCCCGGGGCTAGTGGATTTTGCTATCGGGCTAGTGAATTCTGTTTTTAACTTGCCCGACGGGCAAGTGATGTTTTATGAGGAATTTGAATAACAGAAGAACAAAAAGTGTTTGGGGCTAGTTGAAATGACATCTGGGGCTAGTAAATGCTAGCTTCAGCTTGCCCGAAGGGCAAGCTGTAAAAATGATTTTCTTTGCACCCTGAACATTGTTCCAGCATTGCAACACTGTTGCACTAAAAATCGTCCTTGCGAATCGTCCCGTGTAACATTACCTTTAGAATGGCAAAACAACAACTTTGCACGTGTCACTGCACGACTACCACGTGAAACTTCCTAATTTCACCATTTATAGAGGACGCGAACACAAGACAACAACTTTGTTTATCTTTTTCCAAACTTTGATGCAGTCCTTTAGCATCCAACTCCAAAAACATTTGCCAACATTTGACGAAGTAAACGAGGTGGAATGAGCGAAATCAAGTTTGAAGCAACGCCAACTCACTTTTTAATTAAGGGAAGTTTTTGTAGCCGTCGCCGTCGTTGTTGTTTAAGGTGGCTCGATACAGTTTTTCAGGGTCAATACCTCGCAAGGTTGACCATAAACTACATCGCCAGAAACAACGATTTGGAAAAATTGCCACCACAATTGTATTAGATAAAGATGAAACTTTGTTATGAAGCGGGTTGCAATGACATCGAAGTTGTCATAGCAAAGAGATGACGCCATTACCTATGACTCCCTGTTGCCTCAGTGCGAACATAATGAAAGAAACCACAAAAGCTTGTCCTAGGACATAGCTGTTGGAAAATCTTGCATCCCTGACATCATATTGTCGAGGTGCATTATGACTATACCTTTTATCAAATTCTGGTTTGTGTTTGTTCTCCTTGAGGCAAGAAAACATTTCTGAAGGTTCCACATCATTGCAAAACATCTAGAAAACAAAAAGGAAAGAATTGTTGGGAAGGTAAACCAACCTTTCCCCTACTTACCCCTTCCCTCTCCTCCCCTAACCCGGACAAAACTAACAGACACCTCCTTCAGAAGAATTTAGACCACTTTTAGTTCACGATGACACGTCATTGAAAGCCTAGTGTGAGTTAGATTGCAAAACAGCCCGTATTTTTGTATGAAAATCGTGCGTTTTGTAAAACTCGTTTGGTCTAGGCGTGTAACTCTGCCTCAATATACATATAAGCTAAAATGGAGTTAACAAAAGTTTTTACTTCAGGATCTAAGGTAATGTATTAACTTTTCAAGCACCAATATCCACATACAAATTCTCCAGAACGACCTGCAAACATTTCCTTAAGGTACTAATTGGGAGAATTTAACAGAAGATTAAAACATTCTCCCTTTGGTGATCATTTTAGTAATTTTCCTAACCTTTTCTCTTGATGATGTATGGATATTGTTAGGAGAAAATTGATGTTAGTCACTCTTGGGACCTATAAGTTTGAAAGGGTTCTACTAACCTTGATCATTTTCTTGCAAGGTCGTCTTAATTTGTAGTCTAACTCGGGGTCTTCTATCTCTTCCTCCTGTGCAGAAATAAGAAATATTTTATAGGAAATATCACCGATAAAACAGTTACTGGGTACACATCGCTTCAACAACTACAGCAATTTGATTGAAATAAAATTACCCCAAGCACGACCAATCAGAAATGCTACACAGATCTGGGTAGTGACACTTCATCAGTATGGAATTTCCGCGCCCGTTCCTCTGCTGTCATTTCGCGGGGAAACCAGGGGTGTCGTCGCCAAAAGGCGGCTTTTTTTGTAATTAATCTCATCTCTGCTAAGGATCATAAACTTTTAAATGTTATAAATACCTCACGCTCGAATAAGGCGTCTTTGCAAGAGCCTGATAACTCTCTTCTATGATCCCTAAGACACTCCAGTACCTAAGAGAATGCAGACGGATGTGTTGGAGTTAAACGCCATGATCAACTTCAACTTCAACCTTACTGCGTGAAAACAGTCATGGACAATGAATAAATCATGCTGCCCTCAAAATTCCTCTTTCCACAAGTTTAAAACACTCTGACAAGAGAGTTGAGAACTCCTCTATGTAATCTAGTAAAGATTATTAAAATCATCTTTACTTCAGTGCTGCCGTCTTACAGATATTCACAAAAAAGGAAAATTCATTACGCATTTCAACAGTGCACAAGTAACAGTCGTGCACATCGCTGCAAGCACTGAACTCAATGGATTAACAGAAAACCAAGGGCTTAAGTTGCCATAATTCATAACAACAAGGGAAATTCTTTACACATGCAATAGTGCAAAATTATCAAATGCATCGCAATGCATCAAAGATGGGTGCCCTGTTTGGTTGAGGTTGTCCACTGTGACCAGCCAGCCCCTAAACAGTGAACTATCCCATGTCTAAAATTGATAGTTAATTATTGCATAAAACATAGAGCATTTTTTGTAAATAACCTATATATTATATATATTCTGTCTTGGCCACACAAAAAGCATCAAAAAACACTTTCCAGGCCACTACACTCAAATTTGAAGAAAATTCAAGGACTTTTCAAGGACTTGCACAGAAATTTAAGGACTTTTCAAGGACTTCCCTAAAATTCAAAGACTTTTCAAGACTCTGCGAACCATGTGACCACAGAGAAGGCGCTGTAAAATCTCAAGAGCCCAGCAAATGCCCAAAGACCGCCCCATATACGATTAGTGTTAGTGAGCATACTAAACAGGAGGGGAGAGAAAAGAGGACAACAAAACGTTTGTGCGTGACAGACGTGACAGGGCTATTATTTGCGGGTTTTGTCGTGATCTTTAATTAACCTTGATGTGTTGTGGTCCTACAAAGAGATCTTTTGCAAGGAAGGTGAAGTTTGGCGGGAGATTGTTCAAACATAAGTACTGTCACGCTGCCACAAAAGGTTTGCCGTCTTCTTTCCCTCGTCCTCCTTTTGCGTAAGTTCACTATTGCCTAACCTCGCCTAAACTACATAATGCAGAAAGGGCAAATAAACGGAGACAAAAAGGTTTTCTCACCCTTGCTTGTCCTTTAGGAGCGTTGGCACAGAGCCTATTGATGTCTCCCATGCACTGGGCAATTATAATAGGATCAAAGCGCACATCTTCGGACTGAAAAGGAAAACATACAATTAACTATAACTTACAAATAAGGGGGAGGGTTTAAAAATTACCGTATTTCCTCCAATAAGGGCCCGGGCGCTTATCTAAAATAGCCCATATTACATTTACAGCTTGAAACGAGGCTGAAGTTGACCTTGTCTTGAAACAATCCTTCCTGCTTTATCATGTAAATGATGTTATTCTTAAGCTAACTAGTACTTTTGAAGCAAAATTTACATTAGAAAAGGAGGGAGGTTTGTATCAAAACAAGGTCAACCTCATCCTCACGTTCGCTCAAGGGCTAGGACACTAAGCCCATAACTTTAAAATGCCCTATTACGGCTAGAAGAGGGGGCGCTTATCGGAAGGAGAGCGCTTAATCGAAGGGGTAGGTGGGGTGGGGGTGGGGGGACGTTTATAATAGTAATGTTAAGTTAAAATTATAGCCTTTCGTTTGCGAAAATAGTAGCTGTAATCGATCTTACCGTAGTCCCACTTAACACTCGTATGTATCATTATGGATGTTTATAAATTAATGATTATCTTGTCAACCTCGAGATCATCCTCGTCAATGATGGGCAGATCTATGGTCATACCAAACTGTTTCTTCCACAAACTCAAAAAGTTGCAACCGATCGGAGAAAAGAAGTGATGACGTCACAAAAAATAAATTTGTGAAAGTTAGTTACCGTATATCCTTTATTAACCAGCACCTCTCAAATAAGCCCCCTCACTAACAGAGGATTTGAGATATTTACTGAGTTAGTCAATTAGTTAGTTAAGGTACGGAAAAGCGGGCAACTTGTCTTGCAACATTGCTGCAAAACGAGTTGAATAGCGATGTTGCGCGTTTTACCAAACACATCAAACCTGTCTTGCAACAAATCAGGTTGTTAACAGGTTTGAACGTGGGTGGTAAAATGCGCAACATCGCGATTCAACTTGTTCTGCAGCAATGTTGCAAGACAAGTTGCGCGTTTTTTGTTGCCCGTTTTTTCGTACCTTTAGTTAGTCAGTTAGTTAGTTATTTAAATAGTTTAGTCGAACGCTCGCTCGAACAACATGGATTATCCCTCGCCAGTCACTTTGGTCTAGCATTGCCGTTCTGAGTTCTCCGTTGGCGGTGAACCCAGTGTCACCAAGCAGAGTAAGTATGTACATGATACTAGGTGCTAAGTCTTCCTCTCTTAGTTTGTCTGTGTTGTGGCTTCCACAACACAAGCTTCGATACCTCCTTTTTGTGTCTAACTAACACAATGCCAGGCTACTCTTATTCTTCTTTGCCTGACCTTGCTAGAAAGCTTTGGGGTTGCTAAACACATACAGAAATAATAAGAGAAAAATGTCCTCTTGCCAAAAACCAGCCTGTAAATTGGTGGGGAGATATAATCACTGTTGTGCTCCTATGACTCCATATAAACCCTTTTAAATTAGGCCTGGATCCGGTTCAATTTTAGAAGCATTTGTTAGGATTGTCCAGAGCATTGCGATGCTTAACACTGCCAGACACTTTGCATCTTGAATTACATGAAAGGATCTCCTTAAGCTCACCTCTTCTTCCTTCTCAACCCTCAACTCTCGTCGACATTTTTCCGAAACCTCAGGTTCGTCTTCATTTATGATAGCATCACGTATCTTCTTACTCAAGCATTCCACAAGTTCATACCTTCAAACAAGAAATGTTAACTTCACCCACATGGTCTAAATACAGTGAAAATCCACTAGTAAGACCCTGCATTTTCCCAGGTTAGCCTAAATAGGTTCTTTTATTAATGACAATCAGCCCAAATTTAGGATATTTAAGTTGTTGAAATTCAGCTTATTCCTCTAAGGTACTTAAATAAAATATGCGTACCAGTTTAGTATGTAATGTAAAAATGCCTATACGAAGAAGAGTTGAAGCACTTCCAACATGAATTTTGAAACATCCTTGTCTTATAATGCTTTATCTTATTTGCCAAGTGTACAGAATTTTTTACATAAAGATTTAGCAAAAAATAACTTGTTTCTAGGCTAAAGAGATAGCAAATAACTTCGTTACAGTGAACACATTTTGCCAGTCCCTGGGCCCTTCGTTATATCGAGGTTCCACTGTATGTATCTGTTAACAAATTCCCTCCAGTAATGTTTTAAGGAAATATATGGAGATCAGTCTGAAGAATTGTACGGGGATATTGGGATTTAAGAGTTAAAGAACTGCCCAACTAGTGCCCATTACGGCTTACAACCCGCCACATATTAACTCCCAGTTATAAGCCCAAAAAATTACGTCCTACTATAAGCAACCTCTAGCTTGTACTGAAACGAATTCCACGTTGAAGACGCTTGAAGCTTAACTAAAAACCAGTAAATGCAAATCTTATTTTGTTCAGCACTGCTATAGTTATAAGCCCCCTTGGATATAAGCCCTTCCGTTTACAACCCCTTATAAAACCCTTGCGAAGATGTACAGGCCCAGGGCTTATAAGCGACAGTTAACGGTATTTACAACCGGGCCCGAGGAGGTCAGTGATATAAATGATAACTACACCACCACACGACTCAGTTCGACGTTAAAAATTATGGATGTCGAAACTGGCGTCATGCGATTCAACAGCAGTCCCGTTCGGGACTACACTAGGGAACTTAAGATAGAGACGTTTTCGGGGCGACGGCAACTTCAACCGGACGTGACATCATCATTTGTTGGATATTGCGCATGCTCGTGCTCACCACCTTGCCGTCGTGGTCCCGTCGGCGACGTGAAACTGGTCTGTTTGGCGTTGTGGCGAAAACGTGAGTATTTAACTTTCATTTCAATCAGGTTTGTTGCGTTTAGCAACCAATATTTTGCAGATTATCGTTCTTAAATTGTCCTTGTTTTCTTTGAGGCACATTTCAAGTTCGATTTCCAAGCTCTGTTATCTAAACTTACATCTTTGAATGTTTCTATGTTTTCATGTCACACGGTCAAGATCCAACTTGGCAAACAGCCAACCGTAAGCGAGCTTGACATGGACAAAATTTTCCTACGAGCCAAATAAAAGTATCCAGACAAAAAATATGAACTCCGATATTTCAATTGTGTGTTTTTAGTTCGCTCTTTTCGTTAGAATATCGTATAAATGAAACGCATTGAAAATTATATAGAATAGTAGGTAATACCATGTACTAACTCGGCGTGGGAATACTGAAATAAAGTTGATACCGTTGTTGTTGTTGTTGTTGCATGCAAGTATTTCCCGGGAATTATTTCAATACCAAACTAAGAATACGGTTCCTTGGTAGCATTTTAATGTTCCTGTAATTTGCAAGGCTTCGGCAAGCCTGTGGAGATCATTATTTTCAACACGAAATTCTGCCTTGAACTCAGCTGCATCCCGTATGTTTTTTAGCGTGAACGGATCGTAACTGTCCCGAGGAAAATCGGGATTTTTGGACTCATAATTTTCCCACAAAACGAGAAACTCTTCATCCGATACATGTTGTCTGCATAGCAAATATTTATTCTCTTAATTCTTTATGTGAAGCCATATTTTCCTCTTCGGTATTCTTCTAATTAAAGGCGCCATCCTTCTGAGTTCACTGCGATCTTAATGTTCTATTTTTGACGGGAAGCGACGGCTGCCTTAGTTCCAGGCTTTCTCTGCCAGTCCGGTCGCCGTCGCCCCGAAAACGTCTCCATCTTAAGTTCCCTACTCACCCCAACGGATGGGGTCCTTGACGTGGCTCGATACAGTTTTTCAGGGTCAATACCTCCCAAGTTTGAGCATAAACTACGTCGCCATAAACAAGCATTTAGAAACATTGCCACCTTAACCCATTCGCCCCTGAACCGCCCGTAACCGCCCGTGCAGATCCAGGTCCTTTTTACCCTTTGTGACGTCATCAGGTTTAACGGTCAAGGACAACTTTGTTCGCTAACTTGTGCAGAGTGAAGAGATCTTTCAAACCATACCAGAATGAGCACAATTCAGTCAAGGACACCGGAGAAAGAAGCAAAAAACCACGTGACAAGGACCTGAAAATCTCCATGAAAATCTTGTTCCATTACCCACCTACCTTTCCTTTCACCTAATCCTAAGATCCTAAAAGCTTTCCTAAAAACTCTTCCCACCAAAATGAAGCCTACTAAATGCCCAGCAAGAGAAAAAAAAAATGAGGCAAGAAAGGCGAAAAAAGAAGGGAGGAGAGAAAGCGAAAAGTAAAAGTCAAGACTGCTGTGTCACTTTTAAACCTGAAATTTTGCTTTCTGCGCATGCCCGAACTTCGCAAGCTGATATTTTGCATCTGGATCAGAAGGCCGCCAAGTGTACGACCTGTAAACCGGTTTGTGGTAAGTTTTAGCTCTTTATAGCACGACAGTGACCACAAAACCACTCGACCAGCTTCAAAACGCGTTTTTCGGCAAAATCTCCAGGAGCGAATGGGTTAATTGACAACACCTCAATTGACAACAGAATAGACTATAATGGGGTAGCGTTTCTGAAAGGCCAAGAACACATATCCAGCAATCCCCCGGGGTATAATCCACCTACTTGTGTATGACGTGACTCACGGTAATTTCTAACTATTCGTTGTTTGAAGTAAGAGGGTCCCCAATAGGGTCCTTCAATCTCGTAATCCCGACTTAAAATTTCGTGCAATTCCGTAATCCCGAGGGTTTTTTTGGCGTCCCACCTCCCGCGCATACTTTCAATACCGAATCTCGCCTCGATTTTGCTTTTAAATACCGAATTCCGAGGTTCAAATAAGAGAAATCCCGATCCCGTAAAACCCATTGAGGACCCTCAAGTAACTTACTTGCTTGTAACTTTCGGGCACAACTGCTGCGCATCTTTCTTGCAAGCTTTTTTAAATTCAGCAGAAAACCTGAAATCTTTCATTTCGATCTAATGGAGAAAATGACAACATTGCTTAAGCCCATATCCTGTACCAGCCTCTCAGATATTATAGAACTTTAGATTCTAAGCCGAGAACATTAACAACGAGTATGACATTTTGCCAATACTGAGTAGTGCTCGCGCGTGAATCGAACCACCCCCATTTTGGCGGGAAAACGCCAGAGCCGTCGTCATTCCACTACGAGTTTTAGCTAGAAAATCGCAATGGCGAAAAAACGTTATCAAACGTTGGAAGTTTTATTATTTTGTGATGCGGGCAGGGCTTAACCTCCTTCAATATAGAAAACAGTGCTAACTTTTCTGGTGAATCAACAAGTACAATGAAGCTTTCCGGGGTGTCCTGTTCCGGTGTTTTTTTGAGAATACGCGAAAAAACCTTCAGTCAAATCTCACACTCGCAGCCGTTCTCGTCCCCGAATCTAAAGGTCTCTAGTAAGGACGTCGCGAAGAAAAGATCAAGAGAAAATAGAACCCGAGTAGTCTCCGCGAATTTTTGGATGGGTTTTCCCAATCTCTGCACATTGGAGCCTGGAACAGGCTAGTTTAAGCCAAACCAGAGCAGACAAACGCTCAGCTATTTACGTAGCGCTAGGGAAAAATAATGGAGGAAAATTTTACATGTTTTGCGAAAAAGAAATAGCCCAGTCACTGCCTAAAATATAACAAGATACAGACCACTGCTATTTGAAGAATAAATTATCTGCTAAACTAAACATCTCTTTGAATCCAGAATTTATCGAGGTACAGACATCGATGGAGGTATAACGGGGATGCATGTTAAAGAATTTTTTAGGTACATCTATGAACTATCTGTTCGCAGAAGGCTCTCGGCCTTGGCGGATAAAACCCTCCTCAATCTGCATGATTTTATAATTCTTCATATCATTGAAAAAAATGACTTTACAGGGGTAGCACAATTACCGGTAACCCAGTAGTTTTCATTGTGGTACTCAAATTAGGACGGAAACAAACATTACGAATCCCAACTGGCAGGAGGCAATCACTTTGCTATTAGGGAGCTTATGCAACGATCACGGCGACGACAGCGAGAACGTCAATAAAGCAATAGGTTTGGGTTAGCAAAACAACAACTTGGCAAATGCATCACGCTTTTTTACACATTTCTTTGCCGTCATTGCACTACTACGACGTGAAAGTGCGTGATTTCACATTTTCTGGAGGACGTGAGTACAATACAACGACTTTCTTTTTCTTTTCCTGAACTTCCGTAGAGTCTTTTAGAATTCAACTCAAGAAAAAATTGCCAGCATTTGACGAATTGAACGAGATGGAACAAGCTCGATAAAGTTTGAATCAGCGCGGATTTACTTTTCAAGTGACGTTTTCATAGCCGTTGGCGTCGTTTTGCTTAAAGAGCTCACCATTTACAAGCGTGGCCGAGGAAGTGGAACTCGCGACTACTGAGAACAAATCCAGCTTGGGGATAGGGCGGGGACTGAACTCAGGGCCTCTGGAATGCAATTCCAGCGCCTTAAATGGGCTGTGTCACGGCAGTCCAGATCATTTTGTTTAATTTTGCCAGTTACTCGCCGTCAATCGCAATGGAACTCAAAGTAAGCAAAAAAATTACATGTAAATGACAAAGTCAGAGATTCGACACAAAAAAATATGTCTCCTGAGCATTATTTTTGAAGTTGCAAACAGCAGAGATCAACTTTGAAAAACTTTTAGGCTGAACACTTTTCAAAAACCCTTTTTTCAATCCGTTTTAATCTTCTTCAGTTTTACCCATCCGTAGCATCTGTTGAATCTGTTGTGTTATTTCGACCTTCCTTTAATGTTTTAGGCGGTTATTTTTATGTTTCTCTTGGATTTAACAGGCATTTTGTAATACCTAATTTGGCTGAATTTCGTGACACAGCTCCTTTAACCGCTTGGTCAGTTGCGCTGCTGAATTCAATCATCGCTAATTAACTCTATTTCCTTACCAGTTGCCAATGTTCAATAGAAGCACGACACTTCTCGTCCATATCGTGATCATTCTTGTGTTCAACCAGACACGGCAGAACTCCTTCAGTGTTTCCTTGTGCGACAACATCTCCACAGAATTTGGTCACCATCCCAGAGCAGGCACGCACCATTGTTCTATCGAGTTTATAATCCTATACAAGATAAGCAAAAGGTGTTAATCAAACAGCAAATGGCTTAACTTTCTAGGAGTCTCTCCACAGTTTAGGTTAAAGGGGCGACCACCGCATAACACTATTTGCTGTCATTTAAAAAAGCTACATCTTATCTTTGAATTCCAAAAATAACGATCCAGATTTGTTATTATGAGGCATTGAAACGGTTTCTTGTGATCTGTTGCAAGGGATGGGAAGAATAGAAATGGACTTTTAATGCTACGCCAGTATAAAGTTATTGTTCGGGTTAGTGCTATCTTTTTTACGGAGCATTTTGTGTATAAGCATTTAAGACACTTAATAATGACTTCAGCACAGAAGTGACGTCTAGGACCAATATTCTCTTAACACTGCTCCTTTATACGGACCAGTCATCGCGAATCCGGATATTAGAGAGCTTTAGATTTGAGAACGGAGGATGACTACGAGTACGAGATTTTACTTAAAAGTTTTTTCGCGTATTGTCGAAAAATATTCAACCCGGAAAGCTTCATTGTACTAGCTATTTTCCACCTGAAAAATTGGTGCGGTTATTTTTATTGAAGAAGGTTTAACCCTTTCTCGGTTGCAAGATGATAAAACTTCTAAAATTGGATACCTTGTTCTCGCCACTACGACATTCTCGCTAAAACCCGTAGTAGAATGACGACGGCTACCACCTTTTCCGGCCAAAATGACGTTGGTTCGCGCGCGCGCACTACTTAGTACTGGGGACTTTAATATCCAAGGACGCGACGGCAACGAAAACTTCGCCTAAAAAGTGAATTTGTGTTCTTTCAGTCTTTATCGCAATTATTCCAATCCACTTACTTTGTCAAATGTAGGCGAACCCTCCCGGAGTTCAATTCCGAGGGACCATATCCAAGTTCAGAGAGAGAAATAAAATTTCGTCGTTGCTTGTTTACGTACTCCATAAAACGTGAAATTAGGCATTTTCACGTCGTAGTTTTTCATAAACGGCAAAGAAATGTACAAAAAGGCGTGATGCACGTGCGAAGTTGTTGTTTTGGTTATGAAACCCATTGTTTTTTTTTTGACGTTCTCGTCGCCGTCCGCGTCGTTGGATCTTACAGACCAATGAGAAATTCTTGACTCGCAGTAGTCCTCGTCTCAGAATATGAAACTCTCTATATTTCAATTTGAAATCACTTATTTTGTTACCAGGAATCATGTGGACGGGGCCCTAGACCAGTCTGGAAAGCGGCTTCAAAAAGATGCGGTTTCGGTGAGTGAATTCACTGGTCTCGTATGGACGGAATACCGGTTCGTGTAAAAAAAGATATGCGGTTACAAAAATATCTACAATCCTGGACAAAAGTCCTTGGGACAGTACTGCAATACTCATATTTTTCTGTCATTTCTCGATTCCCTCTTAAAATAGTGCATCCTTTTCGAAATTTTCTTGCAGTTCTCCCTTCCCCCAACCTATACAAAGTTGAAACTCGAAAAAAAATCTGGATACACGCGTCCAACATTGTTTGTGGGGTGAGGGGAGGGGTTGGACCTGTGTGAAAATGCCCCAGAAACGCAAAAGTGTCCCAAGACGTTTGTCCATGATTGTAGATTGGTGTGAGTGTGGCCTCTATTAGACTTGCTACAAGTGGACCTCTCAAAAGTTCTTGAAAGTGAGCGAAGCGAGCTTCAATGCATGAGGTCGCCCAGCGACCGAGCGAGCGACGAAGTCTCAAGGCCGCCTTTTCGCCTGAATGGATGACATCAGCTGTGTCGGGAGCGGCATAAAATATCACTCACTGTCCTATTGGTAAATTGTCATGACATCACCGATAGAATTTTCGAACGGCGAATTTCGCGCCAAACAGGTACGAAAAGTCCTTTAAAATGGCTTAACCAACCAGAGAAAAGAAAGGACTTTTAGAAAGTCTAGGTATCAATCGCCCAACTGATGGTCTTAATCCAGTCAGGTGCACATATTTTCCCCCTTAAATCCTTATATCAAAATATAAATTCCCAATAGTCCAGTTTCGAATTAAAAATTACCGCTGAACATAAACATTAACGACACATTCATACAGGGTTAGCCTCGACGTAAAGTAAAATATTCAGAAATTCTGGCTAGCAAGTGTTTGAAATTTGAATATACACCATAGACAGAGTAATAAACAGGTTTTTTTCTCGTTGGAATTTGTGAATATATTACTTCAGATAGAGGCTAAGGGGTCATAGCGAACTCGAAAATGGACTATTGTTACCCCTCGAAATTTGTTATACAAGAAGTGGGGAGAAATTGTTAAAGTATTAATTGAATTCATCTTCTTTGATCACGTTCTTTATTCTCGCGACCACTCTGTCATATAAAGTATTGATATTACGAGGAGAAATTTGATGCTGATGACTCTTATTGCTAGAAGGTAATGTTGATAAATGTAATGGACCGATTGCACAAGGGGATCATATAACTGCTGCTATTGCTGCCACTGCAGTGATTTTGTTACAAATAGTTATGGTGAGTCTCGGGACTCATCTTGTGAAAAATCATGAGTCCCAGTGCAGAACCAATGTGTCCTAAATTGAAAATACTTGGGCCTTTCTGTAACCAGACATTTCATCTGAAAACAGGCTCCAAAACTCTTCGGTGCAGTTTGCTGAAATTTAAATAAAATAGTCCTTCTATTTAAAGCACAAAAAAGACTAAAACAAGTATGCTTCGTTGAACGAAAGCCACAATAACAGCCACAGAAATCACATGATGGGATACTCTACAAAAACATCTTCAGATCGATCGATCGATCGATCTTTGCGTTCTACGGGACGCATGCCATGCCGTCTTTGAGGATTTTTATGCGTCAGGGACGCAGGAGTCAGAGCTAACAAAATCACTGCTACTGCTACTACTATCACTAACGGAATTAGTTTCATTTTGCATTAAATTTAAATTCGGTGATCCCGACGTGGTTTAGATACCCTGCGAGAGATTACGGGCGTGTGAGGCTCGCGCGCTTCGTGCAAGAAATCTCACTCAGCAGACTTTCGGTACTTTGCCACAAGGTTACTAACCTCGCCCTCCTCCTCTGTGAAATTGCCAATGGCCTGTTTACATTTTTCGCCAAGTTCATCAAACTTTTCCTGCAAACACTGTATCTCCTACAACAGAAAACATTCAAAGAACCATTCAAAGATATTTCTCAACTGACGCTCAATAAAGGACTGTTCATTATGTAAAACTGAGAGAGGGCTAGTTCAGGAGCTGAGGATCCTGTGATTTTCCTGCATGAAAAAAAAAGGGGTCACAAACTGATGCATGCATATAAGGGAGCTTTGTCACACAAAGATGGTCTCTTTAATAGCAGAAATGTTAACATTAAACAACAAAAGGATGCAACCCTAACAGTATGCAGTATATACAGGGATGTTACATAATTAAAGGACTTGATGTGCCCTCCTCCAGACCTACGACATAATAGCTTCAAGTTCTTTCATGGTGTCTGAATTCCCCTCTGTCCGACACTCACGACGTGATGCTCACTTCACAGTTGTGGTAGCCAGTTTCACGCGCTCAGAGTGAGAGCGCGAAAAACAAAACGAAACGAAACGAAAATTGGAAAGATAGTCTGAGGGCGCTTTCCATTTGTCAGAACTGACCAGCCAGATCATTCCCGTTGTAATGAGAATTTCACTTCTAATCAAAACTATCCAGCCAGGTCAGTCACATCCTAAATAGTATGCACGAAGGAAATGGTTTTTCGCCAAAAATGAAAAGTGCCCTGAGTAGGACATATCCTGTTTTCATACATACGATTTAGGACATAAACTATGATGGGCCTACCTTGACATTCGCTACTTTAAAAACGAGAAAGGATCTGGTGCCGCAGTGTGTCCCGCAATAGACCTTATTCACGATGCCCGCCATCTTTGCTTGCGCTCTGGGATCGAAGGGATAAAAGCTATGTCACGTGGTATTTCAGGGGGCAAACAAGTGATAAAATTTGTCAATACGAGTAATCGCGGTCGAGTTTGTTTGTTCTATCAAAACGAGACAACGACTTCATAGTCAGGCAAAACGTACATACAGATTTACGTCATTACTATTTGGCATGAGGATATCTACGGTCGGTACTACATACAAAAAAGTAACAATGATCACTTCCACCCATATTTTGACATTATCGTATTTAAGATGAAAAGGTCTTCATTTCCTGTTGTCTAGAATAAACAAACTCAATCGCGATTTCTTCCACTGGCAATTTTATTCACTTGTTTGCCCCCTGAGAAACCACGTGACATTGTTTTTATCCCATCAGTCCCTGAGCGCGTGCAAAGACGGCGGGCATCGTGAATAAGGTCTATTGTTCCTGGGATTGTTAAGGGGGGGGGGGGGTGGGTACCGGTCAGCCATTGCCCGGTTAGCATTAGGTAAAACCGGCTGAAGCCAGATTGTTTCTTTCAGTAAAATTACATGAACAACAATTCAAGTACAACTTTACTGTGTAATATAAAATAAGATAGAAAAACTCCACAGTAATGCTTTGAACCCAGGTCATTTGCTTTATTGCCTACATCCATATCTACTACACCATCGAGGACCAGCTGTCAAATCCAGCAGTTTTTAAAATATCCATGTACTTATGCCATATCCCAATACAATTTTTGAAAGCTGATCGTTTTCGGTTCAGTGCTTAACCCTAATCACTGCACATTGCTCAAAACGTTCTAGTATGTTTTCTCCATAACTGGTGATCTGGAGTATTTTTGGTTTACAAGATTAGAAGGGTGCAACCTCGTTCTTGCTCTTGCAATCATTGGGGGAACGGTGAAAGCAAACCAGACAAAAAATTGTGAGGCAAAGGACTCCTCCCTCAGAATTTAATTTTCTTTAGAAGCCATGTGACCAGACCCAACCAAACTCTCGACAGGTAGGAGAGAGAACCTGGAAACCAGGTTGAATGAGGTTTTGTTCCACTCTCGTTACGTTAGGAGAATAACGCGTTGTGTAAAACTCTGGCTTCATCCGATGTTATCTAATTCCATTGCCCTAATAGCTCACTTTGGAAAAGAGTGATAGCCTGGGACCGAAACTGGGCGCGCCCCCATTTATAGGATTGTTTGGGGGGGGGAAGCGAATGTAAATAAACATGGCGGAAAGCGAAGTTGAATCTTTCAGCTGGGTTTAACAAACTGCCTCGCTTAAGTGGAAGGTGGGTGCCTGGGATACCCAGGGGCTTCCACCGTGGCCAGCCAGCCCCTAGATAGAAAACTGCCCCCATGGCTGGCAAATCCCCGCAACCAAGCCATGAGCCCCCATCCCAGGCACCCGTCACACTGATGAAACAGTGGAAGGAAGAAAAATAGGGATGGGAGGGGGGGGAAGACACTAAATGAACCGCTCCACAGACCACTGCACAAACGCTTGACGAAGAACTCGCAGATCCTAGCCGTGTACAAAGCTACCACAAGCCATGTGAGCCTGCACTTATGGGACTGACCGCTGGATGCCCGCTAAGCTTGTGGACCGCTTGACCGCTTAACTTGTGGACCGCTTAACTGCTAAGCTTGTGAACCACTTGACCGCTACGCTTGTGAACCGCTTGACCGCTAAGCTTCTGAACCGCTTGACCGCTAAGCTTGTGGACCGTTTGGCCGCTAAGCTCGTGGTGGTTAACTTGGTTAAATTACATTTAACCAAATTTAACCAACTGCCTCGCTTAAGTGGAAGGTGGGTGCCTGGGATACCCAGGGGCTTCCCCTGCGGCCAGCCAGCCCCTAGATAGAAAACTGCCCCCATGGCTGGCAAATCCCCGCATCCCAGCCATGAGCCCCCATTCCAAGCCGAAGGGACTCTCCGAGTTGACGCAGCCAGATCGGAGAGGGAAAGAGGGGCTCAGGGCTGGGGGAAGCCCTGGCCCCGAACTACACAAGTCCCGAGGCACCCTACAAGGACAACTAGGAAAAGAGAAAGATACCCAAGAAACACCTGTCAAGTGAGAAGGCTTGCTACCCCAAGATAGTACTGACGGGAGTGTGAATATAGATCTGATACGCATCGCTGGACCATCTGCCAAGTGTCTTGATGAGGTGATCTGGTAAGCCACGAGAGGCTGCTGAAGTAGCAGCGCCAATGCGGAAGCTATGACCGGTGTAGCAACCAGGGACCCCAGCAGCGGAGAATATAGATTGAATATTGGATGTCAGCCATTGGCGACGTAGAGAGGTGACATCAGAGAGAAGGAAGAAGGGGCCAGGAGTTGAGCCACGGACGTGTAGATACTAGGTAAGTGCGCGTACAGGGCAGAGATCACGTTTACCAGCACCAATGTAAATATGGCAACCTTTGCGAAAGCGGTCTGTCTTAGAGCACTTAATATGAATCCTGAAGCTGCTTGGATTGACTAGGGAATCTGCTTGGACATCACTGACAGCAAGGTGGATGTCAGGTTGAAGGGGGAGTTGACGGTGAACTCACCAGCGCGTAAGAAACCAAAAAACCCGAGACAGCAGGCAGCCCAAAGCATTGTATGGTTGTAGTCAGAGAAGTTCAAGGACTGGAAGATAATGTGCATCAGCGCGATTGTGATGGGTTGGCGCTGGCGCCTATTGGAGCCTTGGTGACGTTTAATACCCCGCAACACACGCTGTAACCGAAGACAACCAACCAGCGGGGAAGGATGACCCTCCTCAGTGTGAAGGGACCGGATTGTTGAAAGGTAAACCTTTATGGATGAATGGTGGAGAGTATCAGCAAGATGACAGCAGAAACAGATGAGCACGTTTCCACCGGCTGGAAGAGATGATCCCAAAGGAGATAGGCTATTGTCCTGAACACAGAAATCCAAGAAGCGGCGTTTAGCAGAAGCATTAACTTTCCTAGCCTGAGTCAAATAGAAGCGGCATTTATCTGACAGCGAAGTTCCAAGTCCGAGAGGAGCTGCTACGGTTGGAATAGAGTCTGCAGGAGGGGCTCACCAGCGAAAGCGCTGAAACTGAAAGCGAGACAGGGAGTCAGCAATGGGATTAGACTTCCCTCTAACTGGGGAGGCAGTGAAGGAGAAGGAGTGACGAGCTGCCAACAGGGACAGATAGCGAACCAAGGACATGATGGTAGGGGCTCTTGAAGTGCCAGACCGCAGAATGTCCACCACTGAGCGGTTATCTGATAGGAAGTTGACCCGTTTGGAGGCCCACAGGGGACCCCAGAGGTAAGCTGCCACGACGATAGAGAAACGTTCCTTGTACTCGATAGACTGAGAGACCTGTGATGGGAGCCATGCACCTGAAAACCAGTGACCTGGAAGACTGCTCCGTAACCAAGAGCCCCAGAGGCATCTGAAGAAACCTCGAAGTCGGGAAGTGGAGCCCACTGGGGGTACTGAAGGAAGCTGCAACCATTCCAAGACTGGAAAAACTCTTGCCACCAGGCTAGGTCAAGAAAGAACTCTTGATTGAGACGAATCGGGTGGTCATCGCGTCGAAAAGCACATAGCAGGTTGATCATTCGGCGTAAGAATGAGCGACCTTGGGGTACGACCTTGCAGGCATGCTGAAGGGGACCTATGAGAGACTCCAGTTCCTTGCGTTTACACCAACGCTTTTGTGACCAATCCTACAACAAGGCAGTTATCCTATCAAATTTGTCCTGAGGAAGGCGTGCCAGCAGATTAAGAGAGTTCAATGCCCAGGATGGTTAGGCACGTCGATGGCCCTTCTAGTTTGTCTGGATGGAGGGGGATGCCAAGCTTAGAAAAACAGTCAATTGACCTGTCCAGATTGTGTTGACAGACAGAGGAGCCGGGAGGGCCAAGAGTGTGGAAGTCATCAAGGTAAAGCACCAGGAAGGTGACATCATAGTTTTGCTTGGCCACCCACTCCACTAAATCTGCTACACATGTGAAGATGTATGGAGCAGACCAGACACCAAAAGGCAGGACCATATCAACATAAAAGGCACCACGCCATTTCATACCCAGCAACTGGCGATCTTCTGCATGGACTGGCACAATACGGTATGCATTTTGCACATCAAATTTCGCCATAAGGGAACCCCGCCCCAGCCGCATTATGCCCGCAATAATGTCATCTACCTTCATGTACTGCAGAGAATAATCCTTGCCCGCAATTCCGTCGTTGACACTGTGGCCCGCAGGGCTAGACAGGTCCAGGATAAGACGCCATTTTCCAGGTTGGTAGCGTTTGGGGATGGCGCCGAAACGACTCACATGGAGAACAGGGAGGGGAGGCTGGGCGAAGGGGCCCGCCACCCTACCTGTCTGAACTTCCGATTGCAAGTAATTGTCAATGACCTGAGGGTTCAGGAGTGCTGAAGCCATATTCCCCGTTGCCGAATTAAGGGAAGTACTGTAATTAAAACATAGGTGAAAACCATCGCGAAGGCCTTGGACCACGTATGCAACTTTGTCTGGGTTAGGATGATGACAGAGTTCATGCTGGAATCTATCCACATTAATGAATGTAAGCTGAGAAACTGGTCTTCAAGGACAAACAGCAGGAGAACACAACGAAGAACCGGAACTTGGCAGACCCTGCTGCTGAGAAGGTAAAACAAAAGGAGAACGCAACTCTAACGCTGAAAAGTTACCATGAGAACCAACGTGAACAGAAACAAAACTATTTACAGCTGAATGGCTAGAGGTGGCCTAGCGACGGCGGAGACCCCCCTTTGACTGAGAAGGGGAGCGGGACCGTTCTCTCCGTTAGGACCGGTGAGGGCAGTGGATGCGGGGGTGGTCCTCGTGGCACGATTCACAGGAGTGACGAAACCGGCAGCGACCAAAGGGCCAGCGACAGCGCCCATCGTTCCAGGAGTGGCAATACTGGCTAGACCGGGGATTGCCTGGAGACCCAAGAGGCTCTGTTAGTGATGAGGAAGAGGAAGTTGAGGAACCTGAAGCAGCTGAAGTGGTAACCGGAGATCTGGTGTGAAAGTTGTAGAGGTCTGGGTGCATGCGAGACCAGACAGTTGAACCTGAGGCTGCGGCTTCTTTTCGGCAGAAAAGCGCCTTGCTGTCGGGATAACGACGAACTTGTACTGATTTAAATTTTCCAGCGAGAGGGGAAGGTGTGGCAAAGAATCAGAAAAGACTGTGAAGGCTTCTATCCAGGTGATGATGTCTGCTATTTCGATGACCCGTTTCTTCGACCCTGATACCACCTGTTTTCCCTCCAAAAACGCTTGGGGTTCGATTTCTTGAGCTCGGATATTGTCCGGAAGTAGGTCAGCCAAGTCTACAAAAAGCCCTGCGGTAATTTTAGAAACAAGCTTGTACGGGACTGGAGCATAGCCAAGACCCACCACAAATGCTTTGTTGAGGTTTGGAAACGTAGAGGACTCAGTTCCGGTTGCGCCACCACAAGAGCCCCCAACCACTGCAGGCAAGTTGGCGGAGGACGTGGAGGGAAGAGAAGAGACTACCGAAGGACCGCCAGATAAGCTGTACGTTGAAATAAATGAGGGCACAACAAGCCTACCTGAAGACTGGGAGGTAGAGCCGGGGGTACCGGAGCTGGAGGATGCCGGAGACTGGGTAGAAGTCGACGCCGAGGAGAGAGGAACAGACGTTGCGGCCATGTTTGAGTTCCCGCCACTTGAATCACGAAGGGAAGATAGCAACGGAGGGAGCGATTCCGCGAGTGTTCTTGAAATTGCCTGTGCTAACGCGTTGGTGTCCGGTAGGGAAACAGGTTGACTTGGCGGTGAAGCTGGGGTGTTAACTGTAGGAGCTGGGGTACAACCGCTAGAAGGAGGCGAAGACGCGGTAACAGGAGAATACATAGTAGACAAGCTGTTGTTCGTGGTTCGCATCCTGAACGAACGTGACGACACGCACGCTTTGAAAAATAATTAAAAGAAAAAGGATGCAAAAAAAAGCACACTTTAGGACTGCTGCTCCAGAGATCACTAAAAAGACGAAAGACGCTAAATGAACCGCTCCACTGACCACTGCACAAACGCTTGACGAAGAACTCGCAGATCCTAGCCGCGTACAAAGCTACCACCAACCATGTGAGCCTGCACTTATGGGATTGACCGCAGAATGCCCGCTACGCTCGTGGGCCGCTTGACCGCTTAACATGTGGAACGCTTAACTGCTAAGCTTGTGAACCGCTTGACCGCTACGCTTGTGAACCGCTTGACCGCTACGCTTGTGAACCGCTTGACCGCTAAGCTTATGAACCGCTTGACCGCTAAGCTTGTGGACCGCTTCGCCGCTAAGCTTAAACTTAGTTAAATTACATTTAACCAAATTAAAACAGCTAAAGCTGAAGGCAGAAGATGTTCCTAGGGTGATTTTACCTTGAGAAAAACCAGAAGAATGCACAGTGAAACAGCTTCAAATTAGCGTTTCGAAGAAAACGTACATATTCTGCTGATATTCTCGCTGGAAAAGTCTTGACTTTGGTATTCTATAAAATGCCAGACCAGGGGAGTTCCTGAAGTTATTTGTAAAGCCGCACAACAACTTGCATGTCTCGTCATAATTCAAGGTGGCTCGCCATGCTCGACTTGTCCCCCCCAAACAATCCCATAAATGCACGCGAGCTTAGTTTGGCTCCCAGGCTATCACTCTTTTCCGAAGTGAGCTATAGTAACAGTCCTTACGAAATACTTTGCGAAAGTAAACCCTACCCAGTCTCCTCGCTTCTAAAGTAGCGAATGTGCTGTTATCCCTCCGTCCTTTCCGACAATGTGCAGGTTTTGTTGGTAAATGGCATGGTTCACGTCCAACTCGTCACTACTGATTTTTTGCTTCTCTCTGACTCTATTCGGCATCCTCCTCACTACAGTGTTCATACCATTTATCAGAAACAGTTTTCTAAAAATTTTCAGGCTTCAGATTGATTTTGTCAGGACACCAAAATCCTTTCACTCTCAGAAGTGACAAATAATTTTTTTCTGCTTACAATTCCAACTTACTAAACGTCCGCTGTAAGCTACAATTCTCAATGACTAATCTTACCTCTCCTTTCTCAACCTTTTCACTACAGTGTTTTCCAAGATCCTGAACACAGGCAATCTGAATCTCAGGCATAAGATGAACATCGACAGCCCTCTGGTGCATCACTCGTTGAACATGAGCGGCACACTTAGGTGAAACCTAGGTGAAAAATAAATCAATACTCATCTGTAAAACACTTATAATGGAATAAAAACATTAACTAGCAATAATCGAGGATTAGGAAACTTGTGCGTTGGGAAGGGGAGACGTTTGCACGATTCAGTGAACGATGGCGCGCGCAATTCAAACAACTGGTTTGACCAATGGCAGAGCAACAAATTGGGCACCGGAAGTCGCGTTTAGTTCTTTCCGCAAGCTTTCCCGTCGTCAACCGACGTTCCCGTTCGGTTGCTACATCAGCCTATTAAGGAAACAGTTTTGACAAAGCCACGCTCTTTGTTTTTATCGAGACCGTCGTATCAGCGCAGTATCTTCAATGCTTTTGTAGCTGTTTTAATAAATATAACCTGAGTGAAATCTAAGAACTTTCTTAGCATGAAACAATGAAGTTAAAGATTTTTATTCCCTTAATGAGCTGAATACAACACAACAGGTTTTCACAACACCAAGAAACTTCAAAAATAATTGTTTTCTGTTGGTGCTAACGTAAAATGTGAGAATTTAACAGGAGATCAAAAGACGAGAAGACGATATTTGTCCACAAAAACATCCAAAAAGAGAACTTGACCAATATCTGGCCATCCTGAGCTCTCGCTTGCTCATGAACTCACATTATTTTTTCATTAGACAGTATGGACTGTTCTAATATTGACACACATGTGTCTCAATGTTGCGTCTGTATTAAGGAGGTTTGACTTTACCTTGGTTTGCGTGTCCAGAACAGAATTCCTGTAAAGACAAGATATCACTAAGCTGTTGGGATATGACTCCTGGTCATCTAAGGAAGAAGCACCACAAACTGCTTTGGCATCGTCTTTGCAAAGTCTTTTTACTTCTGGGTCAAGCCTAAAACACAGAAAAAAGCTTATTCAGCACAATTTTATAGTCTGCAAATTTCATTATATTATTGCAAACATTTTAAACAACACCACAGCCTACAAGCACAACTACCCTGCAAAAAGTTTCAAGGGTTCCTCTTTTCTCAACAGCCACTTAAAGTAGGTCAATGATGAAAGAGGCAAATAGTTTATTACAAAAAAAAAATTTATTACAAGGGATCACTATACGTTTCTGGAAACTGCCCACCTACCCCTCCCCTAAGCCAACATTTTGCCCTAAGTGGGAAGAAAGTGTTAATGTTGGCTTAGGGGAGGGGTGGGTGGGTAGTTTCCCAGAAACGTATAATGCAAGGGATCACTATACGTTTCTGGGAAAGCTTTCATGTCTCAGACAGGGTGAGCTGATGGTGAGGCCGGAAAAAGGAGTAAGACATTGCACATGAATCTCAGGATTTCTATTCACTGTTCCCTTTTGCACCCACTGTTCTGCCCTGGCGTCTGCATTGTCATAATTAGTTCATCAACCAATGCAAACCAAAGACGATTTCAATACATAATTGAACGTCAGCACAACTTAATGCTCATTTACTTTTTTAACAACTCTAGTAGAAACTTATTTACAAAACTGAAAGTTAAAAAATTTAATACATATGATAATTTCCTTTTGTTAACCTTCGTTTTTAGTTCCCGGATGGATGCCCACTGCATTATTCAGATACGTCTTACAATCATATGACAAACCTAGATCATATGATCCAAAGCTCAAAACCTCACATGACTAAGCAATATGCGCTTACTTGAAGTCTCTTGCAATAAAGAATTCCAGATGCAACAGTTGTTCCTCACACTCTGGAATCATGTTGTCAGTGTGGAGATTTTCCATGAGGCACGAAAGGACCCTGTTGAAGGGAGACAATTTTCATATCTTGTTATACACTGCAATCTCGCTAATAAGCCTTATGGGGGGCTTATTCTTAAACCAATTTGAGGATAGAGGGCTTATTGGAGGGGGTATTAGAAACTGGCCAAGTAACCCTTGGTAACTCATTTCATTTCATAAAGGGTATTACTGACCCCGTGAAGGATATATACAGTGTGTAGGAAACCCAGCATCTTACACCGAAGTTTGTGTGCAACCTACAGATAATCATTTACACTTCAAACATTTTGACTGTTAGAAAGGGAAGGGGTAACGAAAAATAGCACGCTTATCGAGTCATTTCCGGGTAAATCTCAGTAAGCATAAGCAGAACACCATCAAAATTTAGAATTCGAAAAACTATTTGAGAAACAACAAGAAAGACAACGAGAGTAAAGACAGGCATAAGACTTTGCAAACATCACAAAATACCCTATGTAGGTAATGCTTTCAATATATTTAAAGCTGAACTCTTCATCTTCACTGTATGTTTCATTCCTTTCATGGGTTAATATGAACTCAACAAATTGGCCTGCTCCCAATACATGGGTATTCATAGCTCACTTGTTAATTGATAAAGGTTCAAATCATGAACTGGCCTAACCAAGTGACTTACAACTGTATGACCTGTCAGGCTGGAATTTTGAGGGTTGTGGAGGAGTCTAAGAGGGTTGGAACCCTTCATTGGTTTTATTTTCCACTGGATGCTGAGCTCTAAGAATTATCAATAGTAACTTACTAGGCGACAAACCCATACCTTAAAAATGAAAAAGGACTTTTACTACAGAAAAGCATGTTTTTTGCAAAATGACCACACCTAGATTAAATGTTGTAACATACTTAAAGTGCAAACAAAGATCATTTCCCAACTTACATGACATCTCCTTCCTTTTTGCCTTTATCTTTACAAACAGTCTGAACAACAGGCTCACAAGCAGCATACAAAGTGTGATCGATGCGGTAATCAGTACCAGCTCCAGTCTCTTCCAAGAGTGTCTCAATCTACCATTTCAGAGTGAAAAATAAGTCAATTCAAACAAAGTATAAAAAAAGATCACACAACGATTGCCACTAGTTTTTATTAGAAGTTACAACCAGTTGCAAAAACAATGAGACACGCCGACGAAAAACCGGCCTTTCTTTCTTCAAAGTGCTGCTTATCACATTGTGAGATATAATAGTTAACCCCTTCCTTCCCTCCGTTTAAAGTTGTTCCTCCAAATTTTGAGCATGACCTTGTATTGCTAGCAACTTTGAAAAGGGGGAAGAAGGGGATCACAAGTACAAGATCATGGACAGGCAGTTTAAGCCAAAGCAAGATACACCGACTGAAGTATTATTGCAACTAGTGGCTCCACAAGTCCATGCATGCACACTTAAAAACCAAGATGTTTGAAAATAGAGTCAAGCAATAAACAGGATTATATAAAACCTTATTGGAGCCTTGTAAACAGGATTATATAAAATCTTATTGGAGCCTTATAAACAGGATTATATAAAATCTTATTGGAGCCTTGTAAACAGGATCATATAAAATCTTAAAGGAGCCTTGTAAACAGGATTATATAAAATCTTAATGGAGCCTTGTAAACAGGATTATATAAAATCTTATTGGAGCTTGTAAACAGGATTACATAAAATCTCAATGGAGCCTTGTAAACAGGATTATATATACTTAATGGAGCCTTGTAAACAGGATTATATAAAATCTTATTGGAGCCTTGTAAACAGCAATATAAAATCTTATTGGAGCCTTGTAAAGGTGTGACTCTGCTTTCCAGCTTTTTGGATTTTTAACCTGCTTCTGCAGTATATGTCTTCCCTCAAAGCTCAACAAATTTTAGAAAACATATCTTAAACAATGTCAAAAACTTTGTGGGACGGCAACAGAAGCCAAATCTTCATGGAAATCTTAACCACAGTGCGGTTTGGAGTGTGCTATAATTTGTTACTATTTAACTTTCTGTAACAAATCCCCAAAGTAATCGTTCAAAACCGTTCAGATGGAAGCTGTTTTTAACAGCAATTTCCAGTACAGTATCTTTTCCCATTTGTTTTCAACAACAGGCTCATAAATCTAAGGATGCAGTGTTTACCGGACGGTTAATGGTAAAAATTACCGCATGAAGCAACCACTCTTACCGCCTGTAACTGCTTAAAGGTTTACTAAAATTAACTAAGTAGTTTTAAAAAAATTCGCAAATTGTGATCCGATCCAATCAAGGAAATGAAAAAATACATGGAAAAGTACGTACTACAGTAGACACAGCTTTTCCTTTAATGGGCCACGCCCTTTGGAAGGAGAACATTGAAGACAGAGTCAAATTATTGGAATCAAACATCTTAGATGGTTGTCCAAAGATAACAACAGCCGATTTGCATAAAATAGGTCTTAAAATGAGGGAATAAAGTTTCAAAGTACTCAGCTCCTCTTAGGGTGGGGCCACGTCCCTCACTCCACTACCCTCCTCCCCCTCAGGAAAGTGCCCCTCTGAGCTAATAAATTTTGGGGAAGAACACTGTAACCTTATAAATTAATTACTTCAGAGGTAGAAAAAATCTGAATGAAACATTTAAGTTAAAATGCTTTAAAAAGCGCATACAGATACATGTATATGTTGTAGTTAATTTTTTATCTCAGATAATTTTTATTTTTCTTCTGTTTCTGGGTATGATAATGTATGCTGATGAAGTTGAAACAAAAGAAAAATAAAAATTACCTGCGATAAAAAACTAACTACAACATATACATCAATCAATAAAATTAATCATCATCTGCAAGATGCCAAACGCAAAAAATTACTAGAGAGTACATGAATATGTACCTAGCCAAAGGCTATAGTATAACCATTGGCCACTGTTTTAGTATGAGTTGAAGACATAAATTGATTTACATTAACAATTACACTCTTATTCCTTATCACTTACATCCAATAAAAAGAGGCAATTTTAAACAATTACTTAAAAGACCATGGCTTATTTGAGTTTCAATAAATGTATGAAGAACTGACCCAACCCCTCCTCCCCACCTAATCCTACCATTGATGAGATGCCACTCCTTTGGAACCCTACAACAGCATTGCAATATGTAAGAATATTTTCACTTCATCGTAGGCCTATGTTGTTGCATCTTATGACCCTTGTTTCTTTTCAACTGTGTCGTAAAAATTTGGGAAACTTGTGAGAATTTTTTGGGCAAACGGTTTACTGCCCCCGCCTTGAGCATTGATAATGACCATGCCCATAATACAGCTGGGCAAAGACAGAAAATGAAGTAACTTTTCTTGCAAAGTACATATAAATGACACAAAAAAATGGCCATGTTCTAAACTTCCACACCTGGTCTAACGTGTCAACCACCATTCATCTCCCACCCAGTAAATATAACTGACACCCAACATGGGCTTTCATTGCTTAGGAGACAAGTGCTCTTTAGAGAAAATAAACAGTCAAAATGCTCGCACAAAATGGAGAATAGAAAACTATGTATGAATGACTATGACTTTGACGAATGACTATTTCGAATTTTATGCATTGAATTTAGTAATTTGCCTGCCTTGACATCATCTCAGTCAGTTTTTCCTTTCTCAATAGAGCAAGAGCCATCTGAAAGTAAGCTACAATGTTACATTTTAATAACACTATTTTCAATTGTTTAAAAATCATGTACTTATTGACTTACAGCCTCAACACATTCTGCTCTGATCACATTATTCTCGCCTTCATTTTCCTCAGCAAGGCTCATTAAACAATCGATGGTTTTTCCACCTTTCTCTTCTCCATTACGACAGTGACTCTGAATTTCCAAATCACATTTAGCCACAATCTCAGGATTGATAGAGTAATCATCCATCAGTTGCTGCCTCAGATCAAACATTTCTGCCTGGCATTTACCACTCACTTTCTGATCTGAACATGGCAAAAAAGAAAATTATTATACACATTTATTAATCAACTAGATCACATGGTCCCACTGTGTATGTTTTACAGCTGTAGTTCTAAATCTTAACTATTGCAGCTTTTGATTGCCTGAAATGAACGTTCTAACAACTCTCTAATATTTCAGTTTCCAATATACCATTTTACAAAAACTAAGAAATTTCTCATGTGCTGATTGGTCAACAGTTATGGCCGATAAGAGTACAATGGAAATGACGTGATGGTGGTACAATTTGGTGACAGCCAGAACACGACGCAGTTTGGGACGAAGAGAATGAAAAGGAAGATGCAGAGGAGGTTGTCGACAATGAATTTGAGACCAACAGCGAAGGCAAAGAAGAAGAATAAAAAGTACCAGCAGCAGTGGCTCTTTTTAGAGCCACCCTGGTTCTTTTCAGAACCTACAGGTACCTGGTTCTTTTCAGAACCACCAAGTCGAGTAAAGTCAATAACCAATACTCTAAGCTTTGAATTTATCTATTTTTTTAAATACCACTTTAAAGTAAGAAGATACGACATTCTTGCCTTTCATTTCATGAAAATAGTTGGCTATAAGACACACCCCGATTTTGGACCAAACAAAATATGGTAACATCTTAATTACCATCTTCTACAGCTTTCTCCAAGCACAGAAGAATGTTTGCCAAGGCTCCATGTTTTGTTTTGCCTCTCTCACACTCATATTTGTCTTTATACTGGCGGTAGAACTCTAGGCAGTTTTTCATCAGAGGATAGTTGGCCTTGTGGAAAGAGTAAAACAAAAACACAATGTCACTTCACTTCTCGGTGTCACTTCGTAAATTATTAATGTCTACATCTCTTGAAGGATTTGTTAACTCTGGAAAGTGGCAATACCTAGATAATGCACAAAGCATAAATTATATTTATAAGATTGCTTGAGGGACAACTAACTTTGTTACATTAAAAAGTTTAACTTTTCACCTGAGGAAGGTAAGAAATCTCAAGTTTCAAACTTATAATTTATTAACAAAAGGCAAATCTTCATAAAAATCTTCATAATTGTTATTCATTACAATGTGTATAAAATTAATAATAAAATAATATGCAAAAGCTTACCTTAGGGTCTTTAGCCTCCAATTTCTGTCGCTCAGTTAACTTATCTCTACACTAAAAGAAAAAAGCAACATAACATACAGGATTGTTATTAAACAAGGCCCTTTTAGGGGGGAAAAGGGGTATGTACAGTGTATGTTCCTAAATTGAATTTTAAATATGGTTGTTTCGCATTTTGAGGAGTATATGTAGGCCATGTTCATGTCCGTATTTAAACAATCTTAACGTCAATTGTCACCATTTCATCTAGTCCTATGTTCCTGTTTAACCCTTTAAGTCCCAAAAGTGACCAACAGCAATTTTCTCCTAACAATGTCCATACATTGTCAAGAGATAAGGTTGTAAGAATATAAAAAATGATCACTAAAGAGAAAATGCCTTGATGTTTTATTAAATTCTCTCAACTAATTCTTAAAGGAATTATAATGTATGGAGATCAGTTTGGAGAATTTGTATGTGGATATATACTGGGGCTTAAAGGGTTAAGGGCCTAATGTTGCTTGTCGGAATTTAACCCCAACAGGGCCTCACAAACTTAAGAGAAAGAGTGACAGCAAATACTATACAAATATATGTTACATAGCACTACTGTACATAAAACTCAGGAAACAACCACAAACTTTATGATGATTAATTAATATAACAAGTTCATGAGAAACTTTAAGATACTAAGTTCATAAGAAAAAACCACCTACTGTGAACCAACAGTGTGTAGTTTATTCTTTTCAATGTGACTAATGTGTGATGCAAGTTATGTGGGTTATACACTGAGGCACTTACATCAGCACGTGAGTGATTGAACAAAAGAATGTTTCTTCTTCCATTGGCAAACACAATAAGGACAAACACTCTACTGTCCCGAAAGATCTCGAAAAACAGTTCTCTGTCCTTAAGAAGTGCAATGACAAGTTTGATTGTTTAGTGCGCGAAATGTTGCTAATTAGGGAACTAACGTCTTCTTTACATGTTCAATCGGACTCAATCCGAGAAAAACTTTTTGCGTGACTTTTGCATATTTCATGTATGCTAATCATCGCCAGAAAAAACCTTTGTGACAGTTTATCAGCAAGCATTTTGAACTTGGAAATGGCGTCAAGATGACACTGAAATGTCATATCTTTCTTGCCTGCGTTGTTTTTAACTTGTTTTTATGAAATAATTATGGCATTGCCAATGCAATGCACATTATAAAGTGTACATGTAAGTGATGCAATGAGCATGCAAGCATACAAAGTAACATAATTTGTAGCCTACACAACTACCCACATCACATGCAGATATCTTCTATTTACTCTTTTGGCACACGGAAAAGGTCCCCTTTCTCCGTGCAACAATAAAAATAGGAAGGATCTGCATGTAGGCTACCTACAGGAAACAACAAAGTCTTCATATAAATGCACTTCAGTGACAATGACGCATACTGTCACGTACAGTGTACAATTCACCAGTTCATATTTCATTATCCTTTGTTTTTGGAGACCCAAGTTTGAATCAAAAGCAAACAAATTTTTTCAAACAAATGGTTATTCAGGGTTCGAAATTTACTTTTATGTCCAGTTGTCCCTGGGGCAACCACAAGACTTGGTTTGGTTGCCCATAGAATATTTTGGTTGTCCAAGTTCTTGCTCCACTTCAAGCCAAGAAACTAATACAGGTAGCTAAACAGTGGCTTTTATTAATTTGAACAAGAAAATGAAATACAAATACAGTGAACTGTATTCAAGAGTATCTTAATAAAATTTTTTGACCAGCCTGTGTCTCGTTGTTTTTTCGCTCCCAAAGCCAGATTTATCTTTCGAAAACTGTCTGCAATAACTGCAAAACATAGCGTTTTCTTTCTCGTCAAATTTCAGCCAGGGTCTTTTAGTCTTCCACGACTCTTGAAATGTACGACACGTTTTTCTTGAACTTTCTTGCGCCTCGCCTAATTCTGCTGTAGATTTTGCGACACCCGTAGCATTGCTTTGATCATCATCTTTCTTCGTGGCTTCCAAATTGTTGTTATCGCCAACGGCCTTCACTTTTTCACGGCCGAAGTAGCGGAAGAGGCTCATGTTAACTAAGATGATAATAATAAGATGAATGGTAAATTGCCATCGTCGAAACAAACATGGCGGCATCACGGAGCGGATCTCACTAGTGCATCATGGACTATGTTTACTGGTACCAACCGCTGATTAAAGCACAACAGGCTCATTCAAATAAGAATGTTGTGCAAAAACGAACTTCGGTTTCCAACGGTAGTGTACGTGATACTTTAGTATTTCTTCCGCGTTTTTTTTTTCTTTCCACTAACTTAGTTTAGGTATCGCTTACTCTCCAAAGACAACAAGCTGTTATATTTATTCAAATCTATCAAGTCTTCATTAAGGACTAGTGCCACGACAGATTGGGTTGCCCAAGGGGCAACCACTTAGCACAATTTGGTTGCCCCATCGTAATTTTGGTTGTCCGGGACAACCGGACAACCGTTAATTTCGAACCCTGGTTATACTAGATACAACATGTACAATATTACAATGTATCATACATGATAAGCGAATGAACATGTAATAAGACATTTATCAGTGGAATTAAAACATACATACATAACATCAATGTTGAAGCAGTCAGTAAGTCAGAACAGTCGATCCTAACCTCGTCACTCATTGTTTCTTCATCCTTGTGTTTCTTCAAACACTTGTACACTCGTCCCTCCCCAGATGGAACCTGTTCACAGAATCTCTCCCTGTCATCTTTACAAGCATAAAACAGAGGACGATCTAAGTGATAGTCGTCTGATGACAGTTCAGCCAGTCTGTATATTTGCTTCTGACATTGCTGTGATAATTTTTCTTGGTGTTCTTCAAGGCATTCTAGTACTTCATTTTGAGAGTGGATATCCTGAGAAAGGAACAAAGATTTAAACTTAATTAGCATCAAGGTTTTAGCCAGACGGGTGTCCAGCTGTCCTATGGATGCCAATTTTTGGAAGAAATTCAAGGAAAATTCACTTCATCTCTTATAATTTTATGGGAAAACAAGCCTCCTGGATGGCCAGTTTTCAATGTCTGGCTAAAAGCATGATTATCATACATCATACTGATAACAGGATCAATTACTGCATTGCCCCGCTTTAAATTCAAGAAACATAAACTCCTTTATAACTGGAAAATAAGAAAAGATAGATCAGCTACAAAAAATGTTTTTTGATATAATTTTATATAATTCTTCTTCATGATAAGTTATTATTTTCTCTTCATTTCTCTTCATAATAAATAATAATTGTCTCCATATTAAACCGCTTTTTCTTTCCTGACAATAATTATTATTTTAATCAGGTGTCACAATGGACAATGTATGTGTTATGTTCAATTATATTCCAGGTTTAAAATAATTATCCTTTCTTTCAAACTCATTATCAGAAAAAAATATCAAACACAAAATAAAAACAAATTCAGTCCAACAGTGGAATTGAACCACAACATAAACGAAAGACAATCATTAGCCTGCACCACAGACAGAACTAAACTTCTGGTTAATTCCATCTTTGAAAAAGCACTGAAATCCTAGTTCTGGGCCCCCATCTGTTTACCAGGATTTGACTAATGCTCCATGATTTGACTTTTCAAAAAGCTATTGTCAAATTGCAATCAGGATTAAGGGAAATTTGAAATGCAATATCTCATTGAGTGCATTGGCAGTCCAGCACAAGAACATTGGCACCGTGCTTCCCAGACAATACTAACCAGGATTTTTTTACTTTCGATCCATAACGCATGCTAGACAATAATAAAAACAAACCTCTTCATCTTCTTCTGTTTGAAGTCGGCCACAAGAAAAGTTATGCACATCTTTGGAACAATCATCTAAGAAGTTCTCAATAAGACGATAATCACTGAAAAAAATGGCTTGCATTCTTGTCATCATATGCTTGCAGGAGGGTACAGTTAAATTCCGACGATGCTCAAGTAAACATGGGATAATCTTTCCTTGCACTGCACATTCAGGGAGCTTAAAAATATAACAGACATAATGTTAATTATAAACACCTTTCCAGAAAGGTGATATTTTTGTTGTCATAAGATCGGAACATTAGTAATGCTGGTCTGTGGCTCTGACAGCAAAGAGAATTAGAAAGCACAAAAAGGGCTGGAAGACTTTGATTAGTGAATATGAAATACAACCGTAACTGAATTACAAAAAATACAATCGTATTACAAATTACACAAATAGCAACTGAAAAAAATTAATGCTGACATGACACTACTTGCACTATCAAATGTTTTAAAAACATTTAAGTAGTAAGGACTCAGAAGTGTGTTGTAAGAATAAAAAAATGATTGTCTAAATGAATAACAAAAAAATGCTCACAGTAACTGTTGGATTGGAAGTGCGGGCTTGTTACATGTGGGTTTACCTAGAGATGTGATTGATGAAAACCCCTTTCTTTCATATAATTGTGTATGTGAGTCATAGAAAGCCCTTTAAGTTCCAGTGTCAACAAAAGGAATCGAGCCAGATCATGAACAAAGAAACTGGATTTAACAACACAGTAAAGAAGACTCATATTTAATTCACAGTTGCTCAAGTTAGATACAATAATTATAATTAGCCAGCATCAAGGAGCAAGGAGAGACGGCTGTATTTGCAGGCAAAGATACAATGAAACAGTAATGCGTGACACAAGTAATGCATGTATTTTAAAGTCATGACTGCACAAAGTGTGACTATTCAATCGAATATCCAATCTGTGTTCAATGATCAAAGGTCATTGATAATGCAACAGAAAATAATGAAACAGCTTAGTTAACCACTGGAGTTTAAAGTAACTGAAGCTTCCGTTGACAAGCACTGTAACATACTTGGGAACGTATAAAAATATAAAAACCATGTACAGCTGTAGCGAAGCCTGAATAAACTTCATTCACATGGATTTCTAACAATCAAACCTTGACGAAATTTGTCCTGCCCTTAGGTAAAAATAATAGATTCCCACTGGGCAATGAGTTGAATTGAAAAGTCTCACATTTTAGTACAGTAATTCTGTACCTGAATTACTGTCAATATTATAAACAAATCAAAACTATAATGATTTTTCCATCACTTGCATGTACATTCACATGACTACCATGACATCAGACACACCTTAAACTCAACACCAAGGCCTTCAATCTGGTGTTACGTTCCACGCATATGAGTACGAGGAAGAGAAACATCACGAGAATGTGGACAGATTCTGGAAAAACCCATCCTCAGAGACCCAGGGGCAGTCAGTCGGGTCGGGAGAAAAGGCGGGGCGAAAGTTTTCATTACGGGCGAAAGAACCCCTAGGTACTGACTCTCACCGGACTTTTCAAACTGCCTCATCACTGCCGCATCTCAATTATGATCTGTCAAAAACAGAACATTCTCAGGGCAAATTCAATATTGCTCTTGCTGATAGTAACCAAAACGTTTTTTCAACTCATCGGTGGTTCCTTTGTTTCTGGTTAGGAATAAAAGTCTCCTTTGTATACACAAGCTTGGTGAATGAACCGGGCAACTGTGGCAAGACAATAGCCGTCGTCTAGGAACTCACGAAAAGAATGTAGGAGAAACTGTTTGCCGATTAGGCACAATAAAGCATTTTTTGTGCCCAATCAGGAGCCGGTATCTGCTTGAATTTTCCGAAATAGTTTGGTGAGAGTCATTACCCAGGGGCTCTTCCGCCCTTACTTGAATTGAAAACTTTCGTCCCGCCTTTTTTCCCGACCCAACTGACTGCCCCTGGGACTCCGAGGATAGGAAAAACCTTGCTATACAGTTAATGTGCCACTGACCAAGAATAGTCTGCGGGCTCCTCTTCTTGCCCACAATTAATGTTATTAATAAAAGATTATGGACACTTACTACATTGTAGATGTTACTATAGTCTTGTGAGTGACTTAATTTATTGACTTACCTTTTTTAAATCAGCAGCACAAAATTTGTCTTTGACTTTATTTTCAAACTGTTGATCTTTGGAAAACTTTGTTTTATATTCCCACAGCATCTAGAGAAACGTTTGCACAGGGAAAAATAAACGTTAAAACTTATAATGCATGTAAAACGTCCAAGATTGCAATATTCCTACAAGTTATTAACTTTACAGTGAACAGAAAAAGCAAGTTAACAGTATCAAAGCAAACAGTATACATTACCAAGTCTAATTAATGTTAGTATAGGTAATAGCATGGTTTGTAGTGATATTTGGCATAAATATCACAAGTGATATTTCGAAATTGTTATACGTAATTTCATAAGCCGTTAGGCGAGTGAAATTTGAGACAATTTTGAAATGTCATGAGTGGTATTTAAGCCAAATACAGGGAAAAATCATCCGATTTGCGGGAGAAAAGTCAAAATTCGCAGAAAAATAGGCCGATTTTGCGGGATTTGAGCGGAAAAAAGTCAAATTTCGAAGGAATTTCGGGGGCAAATTCTTAGAAAAATCGGCCGATTTCACGGGAAATTTCAGGAGGAAACTTCGCCAAGAAACAATCAGTAAAGAACAGCCGATTTTGCGGGATTTTTTTTCGCAAATTTTGCTAAAATCGATCAATTTGGGTCGATATGTCCAGCGTTGTTTAATGTTTTTTTTTAACAGGCATAATCATTTGTTCTTTCAACAACAGTTCGCTCGAGAAATGAGCGAATGCTAAAGCCGTTAACATTATGGTTAGTGCCCAGTTTTTCGCGACGTTCATCTAAGAACACCTGGTAGTTTTGGGACGTTGTTTACTCGTTGCAGTGAATTTGCAGTGAATTTGGACATTTGGGGTGAATAGAACAGGTCTAATAGCCAAGGTAAGTATTAAATAGGTTTTTCGAAATGTATTTGGAAATATTTCTGGCGGATTTCGCGGTATTTCGCGTTTCTTTGGGAATTTTGCGGGTCCGTGACCGCGTGAAATATCAGAAGCCCTGCAAATATCACATTCAAATCATGCTATTATTTGTTTATACTACTACCCGCAAAAGGTTTGTAATTTTCACATGTAGGTATTTCAAATTAAGCTAAAATACCACTGCTCTAAGCCAATCAGATTGCAGAAATTTCTCATGTAGTAGTATAATCATCATTATTCAAAATATGAATACTACAAGTATAAAATATGACCCAATAGATGCCCAGGGTGTATATTTAACTTTAGCGGTGTTTAAAGGAGAAAGGCATTTACATGATTGTATTTCCATTTTTGCAACAATCTTTACAAAACAAATATAGCTTTCATTTGGTGAAAACACGAAGAGAGTTTACAGTAAATAGCATACAGTGTAATATCTAGTCAGGCCGATAGAGGTCCATAAATTATCTCAACTTCGATGTCAGAATTCTTGTTCAAGGTTGTTGTGATGACATCATTAATTTAGCCTTATCACTTTGAGCTAATTCCTAACTGTACATGTAGTACGTGTATTTTCATGCAACTGTGATGGGGAGTGTCTATTGTCCAGACAGGGGGGGTGTTTACTAGAGAGGGACACCTACATGTACAGTATAATTATGCAAAATTAACACCTTAAAGGGGGCTTAAATAAGAGGGAGAGAGATCATTAACTGTAATCATGTAAAATAAATCACGTTCGTATAACATTAAGGCTTAGCTTGCATATTAATAGTTAATTTGTAGACATCATGTGGAGCCTCTGAAATTTTCTGATGCACAACCATGTTCCAGTGTGTACATGTATACTCTCAAATACACACTATACAGTGTAAAATATGTACTTGTACAGAGTAGTGGTGACGTTGTGGTGTCTAGGGTTTTCTTTCAGGCTTATAGTAGAGGAATGTGTGCTGGACGCTGGGCCAGGCATGCACGACATCATGTCCTAGGAGAACTTTTAAGAACTAATTGCTCAAAAATGCTTTATCACAGGCATTAAATTTTGAGCGTGAAAACTTTAGTCAAAACAATGTTCCTTTAAAATTCAGATGTGTTATACACTGTACAAGTGAGGAGGGGTAGCTGATTTTGAACTGACACTGCTGAAACCTCTGCATCATCTGTAGTCTAAGTGTACACTGTACAGTCATGAAATATTATCACATGTATGGGTCAGTTTACCCAACTGTACAGGTCAAAGTTATGTTCAGGTCAAAATTTTTTAACCTACAGTAGGTTGGTTCTTAATTTCATTTTCTCCCCTAGCCCTGATTACTCATGAATTAGGGCTAGGAGACAAATGAAATTGAGATTCATCCTAGGTTAAAAAATTTTATCCTGAATTGTATTTTGACCTATAACATAAACACTGCAAAAAATAATTGTTTTCTACTTTGTTAAATTAATCTGCTTTTAGGGAAAAATACAAAAATGTAAAATACGCTTTATACTCTGAAAAACAGAGAGAACTGACTGGTATGTGTAGGCAAGGATCAAGACTTCAGCAATGTTTTAAACTTACATGATGACAGTCTGTGCTCAAATCGTCTTCCTGTAATAAAGATCAAAGACAAGAAAACAATCATTTATTACTGAGATGTATGAATGCATGCCTGAAATCAAGACTAGTATGTTGGGTTTATCTTTTTCATTTCTTTGCCCCTTCAATCATAGCCTTACATGTATACAGAAGAGTTATTTATGGATACTGGAATGACTTAATGCCAGGATAGTTTCATTCCCGAATGAATTAAGGTCACACACTGCACTATTAAACATGGCAGAGTTAACGGGCTCGGCCTTTTGTCCCATCTACTGCACACACTGTAAATATTTTTAAGACAGAATCCATTGGGAAATTGAGTAATTTTAATTTTCAGTGGACAAAAAACTTGTACCAGATATATTTTAGGCTATATCACATTCTTTTTTACACTCTTGAGGGCTATAGATATAATTAGTTATCTGTAATAATACCTAAGACAGTTTCCTATGAGAGCCTTGGAAAATTAATTTCAAATTTCACAGGAATGGAGAACACAGGTAAAATAGTCATACGTAAGATTTCATTTCTTGAAATTTGAAGCTTTTGAAGTTTGCTTTCTTGGGCTCCCATAAGAACCGTTTCTTTTGAGTCATTTCATGTAACTTACACTGTATTGTATTAATTTTATAGCCCTCAAAAGTGTAAAAAGGATGAAGATATGTTTGAAATTATTCTGGGACCAGGTTATTGTCCATATGGAAATTAAAATTACTCAGTTTGCTAATGGATTCTGTCTTAATGTTTGTTAGTTTTGTTTTCTTTTATCAAGTGAAAACCACATAATTTTTTAAAGATCTTATGTATGGAAGGGAAAGTTCAAAAGGATGTCACCAAGTCAGTGGTCAAACTTAACGCTCATCCATTCGTCCAAAATGAGTAGTTTTCTTCCCCACTGGTCCTCTGGATAAGTAAAGTTATCACTCTCTGAGAAATACGTGTATTTTTTTTTTTTGGATCGTACCAAAAAGTGCTAAACGCCTTGAACCAAACAAAGAATCCCAAAGGCAAACATTTCAAAAAAAGAACAGGAAAGCAATCATCAGATGATAAAGAAATTTACACAGCATTTGAAAACACCTCCTCTGACCAAAAGAAAACGTAAGCTCCAGGAGGCATGGAAGGATAAATACAAATGGCTAAGGTTTGACGGAAAGGAAAACAAAATGTTCTGCGAGTTTTGTAGATAATTCCTGAATAGGAAAAACAGTTTCATTAACTAACTTGCAGACACAAATGGCATACATCCAAAAAAAATTGGAAAATGATGTAAGTGATCAGCAGTTTTGCTGATGGACCAGTAAATTTTAATCCTACTGGTCCTGTGGAAGACGAGACACAAAAGTTAATTTCGAGCACTGCAAGTTATAATTGGTAAAGCACATGTTTCAGACTTTTAAGCAGTATGCCTTGGTTCAATTCCCCATGGGACAAACACTTCCAAGGGGTCTTAAAATAACTAATAGGCAGAATATGCTGCCTCTTCTTCACACCTGGAAATCTACAGTTACACTGCAGACTCTTTAGTCTTCTCTGATAACTTAGGGAGAAAAAAAGGCCCCATCTTAAAAGCAATTCACTGATCAAACTCTTTTGGGACGTAAAAGAATACACTACAATGTACACTGTACCTTGGCTTTTTCCTGTAAGCAAACAAGCAGAGCAAAGTTGTTTCCTTTTGGAATTTCAGGACAAAGACGAGCAATGTCCTCAGCACAATTTGACTGATCATCGCCCAATCTTCCAATACCACCAATTTTGGATTTAGCAGAGTTTTCTCTGTCGTCTACTTTAGGTTTTTGAGCTAAAGAAAAGCAGCACATACTTCAATTAATGTAATACTCTCATGTAAATGCAAAGTCAGTTACAGTCAAACCCTGTTAATACTGAAACTGAAGGGGTCAAAGAAAGAGTCAGTATTCACAGGGTGTCCGTAAAAGCGCGTCATGCTATTGAAGAAACAAATACAATGTAACCTTTTATCAGAAAGAGAGACTATAAGGGATAAAAGAGTACACCAGCCCCGTCGAATTAAATATCTCTAACCTTCACAAAGCTGTCATTCTGTAGACTAAATCCTTGGAAACACTTAATCAATCGCCCATCTACATGTACATGTACAAAAACTGTTCTTTGCCTAACTTGTTTGCTGCCAAAATAGTCTAAAATTGATGTCAACAATTCATCATAATCCAGTATACTGTAGCACTGGTAATATTGACATGCTGTCATCTGAAGGTTTTTTTACCTTTAAAAAGGAAACATTTATTACAATACACAGTTGATTATGAAGTGTCGGCATTACCATGGTTGACTTTCAATGATAATCTGTTAATTGGGCAAGAAAATAGTGTCCTTTGTCTGCATCGGGTGTCCGTATTAACTTATTTGAATTTGAAGAAAAATTTGAGGGCTTTCACCATGGACAAAGAAAACTGTCCATAATAACAAGGTGTCCATATTAAACAGGTGTCATAAGAGTGTGTTAGTAATGGTAACAGGACACCCTGAGTGGAGTCAATTCGGACTGTGATCATACGAATGATTATAACAAAATCGCAGGAGTCCGATTTGTTTAATCACAAGTATGATTACAGACCAAACTGGACGACACAAAGTTCTGTTACCCATTAATCATAACTTTAACAAAACTTGTGATGTATAAGGCTCTTTTTTTAAATCCAAATACAAGAAATTCCAAGTTTTTTTTGCTAGCAGCGAAAAAAAAGTCATTTAACCGCGTGCATGATGGTGTGTACATGACGCTACTGGCCTATTAAACTGTCCTATTAGGGCTGAAATCAGGGCAGTTGATGGCAAATCAGATTTGAGAAGTTTGTTATAGTTATGATTAAAATAATAATGAGTAAGCTATAATAAAAATTGCACTTTATTTGAGTGTCAAAGTATTTTGCACGAAAGTGGTAATTGAGGACACTATTTTTACGTCTCAGTCCTAACAGAGACTAGAGACAGGACCACCATTTTATGTAGTCATCAGAGCCACGCAAAGGTCTAGCCGCTTGCAGTGCAAAGGGAGTAACTTCATTTCTCAGTTATTTTAAGACCCTGAGTATTGGTCCAGCCCCGGGAATCAAACCCACAACCTCCCGCACTGCAAGCGCATGCTCTACCGACTGAGCTAACACTACTGTGGTAAATAATGATAATGATTGCGTAAAATTAACCCTCTGCCACTCCAGTTTGTACAACACTCAACGTCTACACTGACATTCCCCAGTTCTGTGTCACTGCCATTCACACTACTGTTCCTACATGTATATAGCTTTTTTTTCTGCATTGTGAATATCACAAGTTTTAATTTTTTTTACTTTAATTTAATCTATAAAAATGTCTTGGTCTGGTCATATATTTCTTATCCCTTTCATTAATTCTTCTCAAATGAGACTAATGTCTAACCTAATATTTAAAGCGAAACTTGTTGTATCGTGCTGTGCATTTTGCAAACTTCAATGGGATTTTGGGTTTTTCTGTTCCATCAATCATTTTATTGAAGGCGGGGTTTACGTAAATCACAGTGTAATGTGCTTGTCCAGCTTGGCTGAGAATGACTCTAGACTGCTCAAGAATAGCAAAGGAAATCGCGATGGTGAAAGGACTTTTTATCAAAGGAAGGAGGCAGACGTTTCTTTATTCTTGCAAGTGACAAGAATAAGAAAGGTCAGAAAAATCTGAGAGGCAAACTTAACTAGTTGATTATAGCCCAAAACAGGACGATCACAGAGCAATGAACCTTGAAACACAAAACAAACAAAACGGATCGAAATCCACCAGAACAGCATATTAATGATTGAACAAAATGCTCAGTCATCCAAGGATTTGACCTGACAAAACCAATTTTGGACTGAACCTTATCCACTGACTGGTCTAACACTATTTCAAAGCCTGCAAATTTATTTATTTCAGCTCAACTACGCAGTACACTGGAAATTTTAATACAAATGAAGGGGACATGCCATAGTGTTCGTATTACCTGGGGGTCCGTATTTAGAGGGTAAATTTTAAAGAAAATAAATGACATTTTTCAGTGTCAGGACAAATGAAGCTGTCCATTATATATGGGTATCTGTATTAAGCAGGTGTCTGCAGAGCAGAGTTCCACTGTATTAAAAAAACATATTATGTACTTTTAACACATTATTATTTTTTACACACTTTGTAACACTTCAACATTTTTTGCACAAGTCATTTTACTTTCCATCAATTTTTAAAATTTATTCATATACGTACTGCAGAGCTTCTGATATTTCGCGCAGTCGTGGAGCTGCGAAATTCAGGTAAATCCACGAAATCCCACAAAATTCACAAAAACATGAAAAACAACGTGAAATTCGGTAGAAATCTTATCAAATACAAGTCTGTACAACACATTTGAAACTTATTTCGGCTATAGGGGCTATTTACTTGCTGTAAAGTTGCAAAATTTATCTTGGAACTTCGTCACTGAAATGTGCAAACAACGTCCAGAAACTACCAGGCGTAGATTATGTTGCGAAAAACTGGGTACTAGCCATGATGTTAAAGGCTTTGCCATTGGTTCATTTCTGGAGCGTATTGTTGTTGAAAGAGCAAATGATGACCTCTGTTAGAAAAACGTTAAAAATGCTGGTCTGGTCAGCACAAAACCAACCGATTTCTAGCAAAATTTTCCTTGAAAATAACCACAAAATCAGCCATTTTTTACAGATCGCTTTTTGGTAAAGTTTGCACCAAAAAGTCCTGCGAAATTCCCGCGAAATCGGCCAATTTTTCCGAGAATTTGTCCCTAAACATCCCGCAAAATTTGACTTTTTCTTCCGCGACTTATCAGAAGCCCTGATACTGAGATACTCACAGACAAACTAAATTGTCATTGATGTAAATTTCCATACACAAATCAGTTCTAGCCAATCAGAAGAGCAAACGGTGTTTTTCACAGGTGAAAAAATCGATATGTCCAATCAGAATAACGAAAAATGTTTTTTCATGTATAAGAAAAATTGATATGTCCAATCAAAAGCCACAAAGGTGCATGAGTTTTGTGCCAAAATTACTTGCAGCTTGCAGCGTCCTCGCTTTGCAAGTTGCTTCACAGACATTCGAGGAGAAAGGACTATAATTTAAGTACCGTTTTTCTCGTAGAAAAGTGAAAAACATCTGAGATACTTCACTGAGATATTTCACTATCGATGAAGAAATTGAAGAGAGCCGGCAAAACAACAGTAGAAGGGGGAAAAAGCAAAGAAGATGTAAGCTTGTACTTGTACTTATTTATCGGAACTAACATAAGTCTTATATGCTTCTGTTTAAGCTTATATTCAAACCAGGAATTTCACTCATTATACTACTACATAAGAAATTTCTGCAATTTGATTGGCTTAGAGCAGTGGTATTTCAGCTTAATTTGAAATACCGTATTTATTCGATTAACCGCCCTGGGCGCTTATTAAATTTTTGGACCTTGAGAATGGGCGCTTATTCGAGGTGGGCGCTTATTCGAGGCTGGGCGCTTATTAAATTTTCACTATTTTCAGCAAGTGAAGTATGTTTATTTTGCAACAAAAAAATAAATGCTAATAACAAAACGCGAAGAAGTAACAAAGCAAGGTTTCTGTATAATACTCTGAAGAAAACTCCGTCCTCGGAGAAGTGTCTTATTAGCATTTATTCACTCAAGTGGGTGGGGTGGGGGTGAGCGCTTATTTGAGTTTGATTGGGAGGAGGAGGGGGTGGGCGCTTATTCGAGGCTGGGCGCTTATTAACTTTTTCTGCCTTTAGGATGGGCGCTTATTCGAGGTGGGCGCTAATTCGAGGCTGGGCGCTTATTCGAATAAATACGGTACCTACATGTGAACCTTTTGCATGTAGTAGTATAAACAAATAATAGCATGATTTGTACGTGATATTTGGCATAAATACCACTCATGATATTTCAAAATTGTCTCAAATTTCACTTGCCTAATGGCTCGTGAAATAACAATTCTAAAATATCACTCATGGTATTTATGCCAAATATTACTACAAATCGTGCTGTTAATTTGTAGTGCTATTACCTATACAAATCATCCATTTCTTATTGTACATTCAAAACAAAAGTTAACATTACTAACTTGTAGTTCCTGGAATACTTCATATTCTTACCCTCATTACAAGTTTTTACCTAGAGTTTATCACGTTTGTCAGAACACATCCTAATCTGGTGGTCCTGTGGCACTAAGGCAGAAATTTCAAGCTATCACGGGTGACTGTAAATTAGCCACCCCTATTAGTTTTATCAGGGGCACCTCAGCGAAAAAACTGGACTCCTTTCGACTCAATTTGGTTTCCATAAGTTTTCCGTAAGAGACAAACACAGATTCGTAATCAATGATTACCTGTAGTTAATACTAACATTATTTTGTTTTCTTTGTCACTTTGCAGTGTGTTGGAGCAAATTTTGGCAGAAATCTCACAAGTTCGCTGGGCTCACTCGTTCGATTTTTGATACATCAACAACTCGTGCATAAATACAGTATGCACGTAATTTTTTAAGAAGTATTTTATGCATGTGATACACATATAGCTAGCTTTATGCAGAACATTGTTTTTATTCCTGATGATACCATTGTTAAGTGAAAGCTTGAATTTTTATTCAAGCTTTTTTATCATTATTAATTTTTAAATATACTGCAAAAGGATAACATGCAGAGATTATCAAACTTTTATCCTAATTTTAAACATCAGCCTATTTTGTCGTAAATGAGCAAAGCTCCAAAGGTATAAACATTGTTGGAAATGATTCGATTAACGGAAGTTTAAACAAAAGCGTGCAACAACTGGGCGAGATAGATTCGATACCATTCAATATATGAACAGCTGTACATGTGCAGCCAGCTAAGTCTTTAAATCAACTTTACAAAAAGAGAACCTCAATTAGTAGAACACAAAAAAATTTAAAGAATAAGGCACTATTAGGCTCTTTAAGAAGGCTTAAAGTAAAACGTATGTTAACGATGATTCATCTCAAACTTTGTTTCAGCTTAATTCTCACCTTCCTCTTTAGGCTGTTCTTCTCGTTCCTGCGATTCCACTGGTTTTTGTCGTCGATCGTCTTCAACATCTGAGGCAGTTAAAACGTGTATGAGCTTTAACAGGCACAATCAACATGACCTTACTTTGTAAACCTACGTTAAATGAGTTTCATGAGCCCATTAAAAACCGTCAGTTCTTACCAGCTTTCTCCTCTCGACTTTGGACCACAGAATTCTTCTCTACATTGTCCGTGTGACTTTTATCTGAAGTTTCCTTATCCTTAACATCCTTAACGGGAAGTCTAGCAGGTGAAGATTTGACATAATGATTCGCCAGTAAAAGAATTATACCCAAAAATAAGAGTCTTTGAATCAATGGCGCCATGTTGGTTTTCTGCATGAACTGTCAGCAGAAGCAGTCTGGTAACCAGTATATTGGCCAATAGGAAAAGGATACGTCTTCTCACTTCAGTTCTCTTAGGAAATAACCATTTTTGTCGAGTCTGCTGTCAAGTATCAAATTTTGCAAAATTCGAAGAGTTCTTTTCAAGAAGTTCTCAACACAAAATTGATTATCTATTTCATTTTTATTTTTTCAGAGTAAGCCCGCATCTCCCTATAAAACATTTTAATCTGAGACTCTTTGTGATTGTTCTTGTAATTAAATTCATTGAATAATAAGTAAGCAGCGTTCAATGGAAGCTTGAATAATTAGCCACGCTGGCACTTGAACAAATATTAAAAGGCACCCGCTACCGGTATTTTAGAATCCATCAGAGTCCTTTTTTCAGCTGCATCCCAGCCAACCTTCTAGCCTTATGACTATGAAAAATCAATTTAAAAACAAAAAAAGACGCACCATCTCTCCTTTTATAAGTGACGCTACCTCGCATTCACGCTTCTTTCATCGAATCAGTTTTTCACGCCTTCGCAGGCCATAAAAACCGTATTTTAACATTACCCGGGGCAACTATACAAAACAGCAAACGATGCCATGACCGGAAATTTGGCGTAGCCTGAAATTCATCCGATTACTTCGAGTCGTTTTCTCCTCTCAACAACTGAGGGAGTAATAACGACTCGAAGTAATCGGATGAAATTCAGGCTTAAGTTTCCGTTGATGTGAAACCATTCAAGTGAAAGTTAATGTGCCCAATTTGCATGCAAGCAAATAACTGAATTTTTAATACATCTTATGATACAGAATATATTATACAGGATAAAAGGTAGCCACGTCGTCCCTAGAACTCTTCGAAAAAAAGGTAAAAGATCACTACATGTCAAAACATAGGAGAATCGCTAGCCTGCGTAGCAGGCTAGAGAGTCCCTTTTGGGGGGCTTTATTTATGTTACACTTAATCTTTTATTTTAGTTAATTTTTGTTTTTCCTTTGTTTTTGGGTGCGGTAATGCTGGTAATGTATGCTAATGTATTTGAAACAAAAGAAAAACAAAAATTAACTGAAATAAAGAATTACCTGCAACATACACACAAGTCAAATGTAGTAATTATAAGACGGCTATGACAGAGGAAACTGAGGAAGTTGAAACTACTTTGAAAAATTTAATGACACCGATAAAATCTCTAAAAACGCGGCTAGGTTAATAAGAGCTGTAAAAACAGTAAGATTAAGAACAAAGCTAAAAAGGCCGCCGTCTATCGGCAAGGCTAGCTCATTCTCTTTCCTAAACTCCAGCCTTTAAGTCTACTCTCAAAAATCACATATCTTACGAAGCGTTGTACGGTATGCACCGTTTTTGTTTGATAAATTAGCGCCCAGCCTTGAATAAGTGCCCACCCCAATCCACAACCCCGCCCCCTACCCACAACAACAACAACAACAACAACAACAACAACAAACAAGCAAACAAAGTGAAGTGGTCTGGACAAGAAGAGTTGAATGTGATTTCTTTTCTGCCACATCTGCTTCTCGTCATTTCATCTCACCCATTTGCAGCTTGCAGATGTTACGCTGTGAGAAATCTACCAACACGTCAGAGCACCCCGGAGAGTCAGCTCGCAGGCTAGATGTTAGTTTGAAAAATACCCGGGGGTTACTCGAGGGAATTCTTGGTGGGGGTGTGCTACCCGTTCTCCAAATCCTGACCCTATTTCAGACTAAAAAATGTAATTTTCCACTCCCGTTTTCAGACCAGACCTTTAAAATCCATACCCGTTTTCACACCTGGCCTTTAGGCAGAAATTCTGAGCTCTATTTCGAATTCGCATATTTCTCTTTCTTTCTTACTCATTTGGAATTTAAACCATAAATACCTTTCTACACTCTCGTATTTCCCTCGAAAACAATACCCAATTCCAGACCAAAATGGCCGGGTCAGAGGTGTATACCCGTTTTCAGACCAAAACGGTGCAAAAAGCCTACCTGATGGGGCGGCACATGCATACCTATATAGCTTATATAAGGGAGTACCCCAAGAGAAAAATACTAACTTCTGTATGCAAATGAAGCGAGTTAGGGTCATAAAATAAGGTCTCTTGTGTTAAGCAACGTAGCAAAATGAACAAGGAAGTTTTTCAAGGCTAAGGGTAGCTAGGGGTTTAGGGTTCAAAGACCTCGGTAGGCTGCATAACAGGTGCTTTATGAGCCAAGCGAGGCGAACGCAGTGTTTTGCGCGAAGCACGAGACGAGACATAACTTCCTAGCACACATTAATTTGTTAGCTCTTCACCCTAGACACATTTCTGAACGATTTTTTTTTATTTCAACAACAGAAATTTCTGAAAAAAGTACAGTAGAGCCCCGTTATCCCGAACTGTGAAGGGAAACGAAAAGCAGTTCTCCAGTTAGCAGTTCAATTTATCGCGGGTCGATTGAATATTTCGAGAATATTCAATTTGCCATGTTGATAACTGATAAACCAGTTACTGATTTTCAGCTTTTCAGTAGGTATAGCACAGTGCAAATCAAACTTATTTAATTAGAAAAGGTTACATGATAACTTGCAGTTTTATGATAAAACGTGATCTGTTTTTGGCACCATTTAAAATCAGATTGCTGTAGTGTTAGTTCTAGTGTTTTTACCTGTTATACAACAAGAAGAGCTAATGGGATGATGGGATGGCATGATCCCAGTGGGGTTACATCATCCAGAATTCGAGTTATTGGGGCACTGATTTTAACTCCAATTTTTGATCAAGGGAAAGGAAATTTAGTTCGGTTCGAGTTATCCTAGTTCGAGTAAACCGAGTAAACTTGACTGAAGCGTAGTGTGGTGAAATCCAAGGGAAATGGGACTTGGTTGGAGTTAGGGGGGAATGCGGGTTATCTGTCTGAGCAATTCGAGTTATCCAAGTTCTACCGTCAATGTACCGTACAGACAACGGGGAACAAGACATTTCACATGCTATTTAATGTATAATTAAGATGGAAGGATGAAATTTTTCTCTTCGTCGATAATCTCTTGCATGGTTGGTCTCATGCTCGGAGTCTTCTGAAGGCATCTCCGTACCAGGCCCCTAAACTCAGTGTTCGTCACAAGCAAGACTTGTACTTCACGATTACTAGGATCTGGAAGTTTCCGGATGCACATTTCACACAGAAGAACACCAAAGCTGTAAACATCAATCTGGTGCACGTGTCAAAAGAAAATGACATGAAAATTACGTGTCGTAATATACAGTTCTCTGGGTGTTTGAATTCTCTGCTACTACAAAAGCCAGAATAAATATTTTTTGCCTGGTTACACGGAGCGGAAAAGCTGCTGGGTTAATTAAGTTCATGTTGGTATTCTTAATTATTAAGTTTTAATGCTCGTTCGCTGTGTCAATCTGCGCTTGTTTACTCGTTTTGACAGAGGATTACGTTTTCCATGGAAAAACAAACAAACAAAAACAAAGCAGGCTTGGCCGCAAAAATCCTTTTCAACCACACAAAAACAACCGCTTGATGGTATCACGACTTTAAATTACAGAAACTCCCCGGGGGTACTTTCCATAATGGTCTATACGGAGAGCCCCCCCCCCCCCCCAAAAGGGGTACCGGCGTCTTCATGTATATGAAAGGGAAGGGATTTCACTGGTTGAAGTATATGAAAGGATAAGGAAATCAGTCATCAATCCATATTGACTGTAAAAGTACCTACACTGTATAAGAGCTAACACAGGGATTTTTCCCCATTGTAGAAAAAAACTGTAATTGCCTGTGGATATTTTGCCTGAAATCACTCGTCTTTAAAAGTGTTTAATGAGTGTTCTAGCACAATGTATGTATTGTGAAGTGTGCCAGTTCTATTTTCCACTGGCCTATAGCTACTTTATGCACTCAACAAAGGTTTCAAATATCAAAAATGGTTTAAAGGAAGACTAGCTGAATGATTGTTAATGGTGCCTTTTTACATGCATCAGGTATAAAGCAGTTTACATTACATGTACAACCCGTGCCAAAGATCACCGACCTTTGGGTGATTACTACCTCACCTGCGCCCAGTTGTTCGAAGGTCGATTAGCGCTTAACCCAGGATTGAATTTAACCCAGCTTTCTTTTTCTTTTGTTCGAAAGCATTTTCTCCGAAAATTTTCTCTGTTATTTTTAAGGGAATCCAATCATCATCTTGTTGACAGAGAGAATTAAACAAAATTTACTTTTTAAGCTTTCATATCTGAATTCAAATTTCGCGCTGTTATGACCGTGGGCTATCCGCTTAACTCAGCTTTGAACAACCAGGCCCTGGGGTTAACAAGGTGTTACTTAGACAGCCTTGAATCCCTTATTTTTTCAAAGAAAACTAACCTTGACTGTTTGGTTTGGTGTAAGCGCTTCAGGTGCGCTGTAAATCACATTTCCAGGAGCCACTGTCATGGTCTGCTGCATGAAATTACAAGTGCCATAATCTGACACTTTGCCTCTCCATTGGTCACCCTGTCGCCATAGCAACACATTAGCACTGCTGACATCTCGGTGAATGATGGGTACTGGTTTTTTATGATGCAGATAGTTAAGTCCACGAGCCACGTCCAGAGAAATGGCTCGTATTTCTCTTTCAGATAGTTGCCGCTGCTCCAACAGAGTCCTCAAATTGTTTTCCATGAGCTCGGAAACAAACAGAGGGCTTTCTGCGTCATTTGTGGCCCCGATAAACTGTAGTAAATGAGGGTGATGACACTTTGAAGCAATCTCCATTTCTCCATTAAAGAGGCGTATGTTATGCGGAGAAAGAATCAATTCATGGATTTGTTTCACTGCTACAGAGCACCCACAATATACTCCTTCATAAACACTTCCCCAACCTCCCCTCCCAAGGCATTTGTCTGTCATCTGAATTTCGTGGCGAGCAATGATCCAATCACAGTCTCTCAACTGCCTTTGTGAATTTTCTTCTCGTTGCTGCATCTCTCTCAACTGCCTTTGTGAATTTTCTTCTCGTTGCTGCATCTCTCTCA